TTTTCGGAAATACGTCTGTAAAAAACGAATTTTCAAAAAATGTTGACACCTTCTGAAGCTGTGTAGCATGTTTACATGCTTTTTTTATTACAACAATTAACCCTTGAAATTTGATTATTTTAGAACACCCTGTATATTGTTGACGTATTTATATGAAATTATAAACATCCTGCCTGTTTATTATTTGCAGACAGATTATCATCTATAATTGATAAAGAAGATAGTACACAAGGTATTAATGAAATCAATTAAATATTCATATAACCGTGACTAATATGGGTGCAACTGTATGTTTTGTCTGCTTTTTGGTGGAGGTTACGCTTTCAATAGGGAAAATAAATAGTGAAAAGCGTTTCAAAATCAAAATGAATATTTTCAGTCGAATAATTTCGCGGATTGAAAAAATGACGTATTTTCGATTGCTACAAAGGATATTTTTTATATAGACTGGGTGTAGCTATATACAGGGTGTCCCAACAAAAACGGAAGGTTAACGACCAAACTGGAAAAGATGTCAAAAATCTGTTTTCGTGGCAACCTCGATATGTTGCTAGTGCATATTAAAAGATTATTTTAATATATACACGGCATTCCATATGCTTGCAAAGGTCAATATACCTATTAAACTCGGGGCATACCTAAACCGTAAAGAAAACATGAATCTATTTTTGCCATGGATTACCACCTTTTAAAACAAAACCATGTCACCTACTTGACGCCATTTTTTCACCCCGATTTCGGCCTCATTATATTTCAGGATGACAATTCTTTCTTAGAAATAGATTCTCAAAGCATTAGGAAAATATTATTCATCCTCAATCAGCTTTTTCTGTATAAATACCGATATGTGGGAATCACGTATGAAAATAAACTTTAAAATAAACTTCGCCGTCTCTCGATTAGATTTTATTTACATTTAGGAACAAGGAAAGACGTATAATTATTCATAGAATAATTCCAGCGATATGAAATTCTCATCTAAAATCACTTCTAATTTTATCGTAAGTAAAAATCACGATTTTTAGTATTCTATCGATACGCTCACAGACCTTAACAAATGAACCTACTAGGTCATTTTAACTCTGTTGAACTATTTACATCACCAATAGGTGGCTTCTTTGCTCCCCGTAGAGCACTTTTCTTGACGAGCTTTTCCCAATTCTACAAATCACAGCACTTAGAATCTGTCTTTGCTGCTGCTTCAGTATAAAAGTGATACCTAACACATCGGTAGACGCTGACTAGCATTAAATGAGAATTATTTTAAGTTTCTAACGGTTTAAAGCTGACCTAAAAAAACTTATAAACATTTGTAGATATTTTTAACTACACTATTTTAATCTCAAAATGATCGAATACTCCAGGATACCATTAAAATGTTCGCAAGATGCGGTTGCACTACTTTCCATTTGTTACACAGTAATATACCAGAGTCGGTTGAAAAGTTTTGCAGGAGATGAGGGGCAATGTGGATTTAAATAATAATGTTGCCAAAATTTTGATGATTGCCTCAAATTACCGGGTATTCCAAGTTTCGTTCGCACCTATTAAACTGATTCGCTTGAATCTAGCAAACCATGCACCTGTTTGATCAAACTGTTTAATCAGATTAGGTGATTTAGTTTATGAAGAAAAGGTAGATATGAAACAATTAATCATTCGTAAATAATCGGGAGTATGTGACAAGGAGGTTTTTTTTACTTAGATCAGGTAATTTAATTTTAGTAGTTGATTAATTTTATATAAATTGATGTACTCAGTCTAAGTAAACTTTTTAATAAATCGAATTAAATGGTTACGTTTCGATTCTAGCAAACTGTTTCAAAAATCGGAGTCAAGTAAACTAACTAAACTTGTTAGCTGTTACATAGTCTATTAAATTTTCTAATTGGGCAATTAAAGGTGTAATTGTTTCAATAAAATTTTTCTATTGGTGTATTTTGGGGTTTTCAAGCGATCATACCCTTTCGTCCATCTCCGTCTCCAAACCTAAACAGCACTGATGTTGCTAATGAGTATATAACAGCGCTGTCTGTAGTTGGTCGCACTGAGAAAACGTGGCCAATTAAACTTTTTCATTACCCGTAATGATTTTTTTTAATTATTCCAAGTAACCAAATTATTCGGTTTAATTAAATTAAATATTTTGAAACCAGTTTAACTGAAAGCATTATACTATTAAACTAATTTGCTTCAAACTAGCAAACCATGTACCTCAAACTGTTTAATCAGTTTTGGTAAATTAGTTTATAAAGAAAAGGTACATTTAAAACAATATAAACAGTTATGCAGTTTATTTGAAGCGCGTACTCAGCCCTTCATTCGTGAATGATCGGTATTGGACATGCGGAGTTGTTTTACTTAGACCAGGTAATATCATTTTAGAGGTTTATTAATTTTAAATAAATTGATGTGCTCAGTCTAAGCAAACGGTTCAGTTCATTCAAACTAGTTTTATAGATTCAAGTGAACTGTTGAAAGAAACGGAGCTTAGTTACACTATTAGCTGTTACGTGAATAATTAAATTTTTTAATTGGCCTAATTAAACTTGTAATTGGTTTAATTAAATTTTTCACTCAGTATATTTTGGGTTTTTCAAACGACCATACCCATTGTTTTGATTTTCGTTGATCTATCTCCAAGTGTACTAGACCTATAGAGTACTGATAAATTTGAGACTATAAAGCAAACCCTTTTTTTCGATTGGTGGAATGTGTCTGTGTAACAAATTTTATCCCGGGGCGTAAATAAATAAGTAGGTTTTTGTACCTAAACCAGGTGATATATGAAGTAATTATTGATTTAATATGACAATTATGGACCCATTTCACACAAATCTTATGAATTTTCCTAACTCTGGTATATTAGATACTTGTTCTACATTAGACTCAAAATAGTGATATGAAAACATAGAAACATGCTTAGATAACTAAACTACTGTTAATTATACTACTACGCACAAATTTGACGCTATTTCACTATTTATTTTGCTATGCTACTAACACAATTTACAATGTATTGTTGCTTGGCTGTTCTTATCAGTGTATGTAAAAACAATAGGAGGTTCTAATATCAGCATAAGCATGAGTAATAGTTGAGTACTACATGCAAAACAACAATATAAGTTTTGGCTAAACAAATTTCAACTTTGGTGATATTAGATCTTCATCGCTTCTAAGTATCTCGTTACACTGTCAATTTCCAGATTCTTAAGGTATATGTCTGCAGCTCGTTTGAATGGCTCTGCACATTACACCAAAACTAGTTATACCAAGAGAGAATACTGCGGAATGTCTTTGAAATTTGCCGAACGGCTTTATTGACCCGCATTACTGGTTTATAACAAAAAGAGCGGTCTAAGAGCCACCCACCTAAAAAGGATGATCTATATCGCAATACCGCATGCATCCCTCGCCAAACATCACGTGGTTAGATGTCTTGAGGACGCAATGTTTTTGATTCGACCAGTCCACATCTATCTACTTTATCGCCTTATCTGTCCTCCCTTGGTATAACTAATGTTTGGTCATACAAGGTCTATCGCAAAGTAAACAGGACAAATAAAAAAATGAAACAATTCTTATTTCGGAAAATCGAATTTATTTTATCCAAAATAGTCTCCTTCACTCTGAAGTGTTAATACAGCGATTTACACGGATCAAAAGATATTCGAATGATCATTTTAGCTCATTGATCGGGATGTCCTCCAAAATGGTCGTCGATGCCTTTTGGATGGCCTCTACGTCGGCATACCGCTGTCCCTTCATGGCCAAATGTAGTTAACCGAACAGAAAATAGTCACACGGTGACATATCAGGAGACTATGGGGAGTTAATGATGGTTAAAATGCCGTTATTTGTCAAAAAATCGGACAAAAGCGTCGATCGATGAGATGGTGCATTGTCGAGCAACAAGCGCCAGCTTCCTTCTTCGCGATATTCTGGCCGAACAGGACGAATACGCGACAGCAAACGCTTCATAACACTAAGATCAAACACAGCTTTAACCGTTTGGCCCGGTGGAACGAATTCTTTGTGAAAAAATCCCTTCGAATCATAGAAACAAATCAACATTGTCTTCACTTTAAACTTTTCCAAACGGCTTTTTTCGGATTTGGCTCGCCTGGATGCTCCCTTTAGGCACTTTGACGCTTGGTTTCGGGATCATATTGAAGACACCACGTTTCGTCACCAGTCACAGTGTTGTACAGAAAGTTTTTGTCTTTTTTGGCCTCTTCAATGATGTCTCTCGAATGTTGAAGCAATTCTTGGTCCGTTGTGCGGAACAAACATGCCCAAATTCTTGGTCAAAATGCGATGGATGGAATCTTTAGAGATATTTAATTCCATTTCTATGTATCGCACTTTTTCGATGGTTTTGGCGTAATCACAAATTTTGGCTGTACAACATGTTCGTTGTCTTCCAACGACCCTCTTTGAACCGTGTAAACCACCCGTGGATTCGGCTACGAGATAAACAATAATCACCATACACTTGCATAAACATCTGATGCGTTTCGGTAAACGTTTTACCAAGTTTAACACAGAACTTAATATTGGCTGTTTGTTCGATGCGCATTTTTCGACCGGTGCGAAAAAGGTACTGTCACTTTGAGCGCGATAACTCCGCGTGAAGTGGTCCGATTGTCATTTGACAGGGCATCAGTGAAAGATGTACTTATCCAACGCTAGATCGAGCTACTTGCATCGGACATCTTTCAAAAGTCCTGTTTACTTAGCGACAGACCTTGTACAGTATCCGCCCGACACATTTACTTCGGCATGTGCAACATATTTTCGTACAAAGGTGCGAGACACATGTTTACAACTGAAATGTTCAGGCGCACGTTGCGGTACATGTTGGGCGCCTCATTTCCTCACAATTTCTGGGTCACGTGCCACCACATGAGCCGCATCTTATGGAGCTCTGTTATAACCGAAATGTACCTTCGAAGTAAATTTAGAAATTGATGGTGTATATCCGAGGCAAATTTTTTGAACAGCAGAAATAGTGTACATAGATTCTTTTACAGGGCAGTCGCTTGGCTACGGATTTGTAAATTATCACAGACCCGAAGATGCAGAAAAAGCAATCAATACACTAAATGGACTCAGGCTACAAAACAAAACGATAAAGGTGAGTGTAACAAACACGATCATTATTTTTTTTCAGATTATGTTTCTAAATTGTACCTGATTATTTGTACTTCCTACACCACTGGGCGAGGAAGTATTGTAATCGAAAATGAGGTATGTTTTTTGGATGTTATACTAATTTCTCGAAAAAATTCTTGAAAGGGTTGAAAATTGGGGGTTGGGGCGCAATAGGTAACTAACTCGAAATGGTGTACTGCGGCGATGTCGAGTCGGACACACCGCTATAGATGATTCTTTATATATTTTAGGAATATTTGGGTATCAGGAGTACCACTTTAGCGTTCTGCGATGCTTTTGTAAATGATGACTTAATTAACCTCCAATGAAGGTGCAGTAAGTAGAGTCAATCTATTTAACGCCGTTTTTTCTTTAAATCTAAATATACCTCAATCCTTATGTTTTCGGTGGAAGAAAATATCCTAAACCAGACCCCTGGTCTCATTGGTTATTCATTTTCCATAAACCATTATAATTTCGTCGCCGTTAACAGTCGTCTGATTTTATTAGAATGCTTAGTTTTTAACATCCTGTATAAAAAGCCCTCACGCCAGCTGTAGCGTGATCATCTGGTTAAAGAAAAATGCCAGTAATTCAGAGACCACATTTCTTTTAAAGGAATCGTACTATAACGCATAGTTCGAATAGCGATTCCGACCTAGACTTGGCACTAGCTTATCGAGCTGTATGCCAAGGAAAAATTGTTTAAAGAAATTTTAACATGGGAATAAATGTACTCTCATAATATTGCCGTTTTTTGGCCTCTATTGAATAAACATACATGAGTTTTGGAAAAGTTAGGATGCCGTCTATAAGCAAATTTGTTTTTTAAATATACCTGTAATTACTTCCCGAATTACAAGTCATGGCAAAATGTGTTGGCGTTCTACACGTTTCTTGTGAAAAACAAAACAGTTTCTATCGAAGGTTAACATGTACAAATTGCATATTTCCAAAGTGCAATGATCGTCCAACTCAGTTTAGGCGATATTTTTCAATGTTATACGATCTTCAATGCTCTAAAATGAATTAAGCTCAAAGTACCCTCCGGGGTCTTTTAGGGGAACGTTTGACCTTCATTAGTGTCACGTCTATGACGTTCCTCAGTGGAGCGTTACTGTTTGTTCAAAATCTAAGGAAAATCTATAAATGCCACCTTTAGACTTTTGGCAAACACAAAAACGATTATTTTCAATCGAGTTTTTGAGCATTTAAAATAGCAATTTTAAAGTTTTTCAGACTTTAAATCGCTTATACTTCAACAACAGTCAACCTTAGAGAGTTTTGAGGACTTTTTTTTGTTCAGAATGACCCAAAAAAAACTTAAAAATTGTAGCAAAAAAGACACAATTTCTTATTCCAAGAATGCGAGGTCTATGTAGGATAATAATTACTGAAAGATGCAAAAGATGCAACAATACAATGCCAGCTTTTTTAACTACCATCTTTCACAAATAAAAATCCTTATGTTCATATTGTTCGCCAAGTAGTAATTTGTGGTACAGGGTACAGTCACGTGATAGAAATCGGTGTGTTCGCATGATACGACAAATTAAGTCAACCGTTAAATTATATTGGTTAATGATAGGGCTGCCTTGTATCTGTTGATCATCTGGCATGTTGACAAGTATACATTGCACTAGCGTAACTACTGGGGTTGCCATGGCATCAAGCTAATGAGGAAGATTCCCGTTTTCCAAAACTGGACTAAAAACATTTTGCAAATATTTCTAAAATTCAAAAGGTTTGGTATTTGCAGCCTCGTTTTACTATGACCGTATTAATATTAGTCACACTGGCTGATCAGCGCATGTCGAGTTTTCTGCGAACACTGAGAATATTTTTATATCCACAGATCCTCAAAAAAAATGTCTGCACACACTCTAATTGGTTGATATGTCAGTTTAAATAAAAATAAATTGGGGACCAAAAGTATACACGAAAAGAGCGGGCCAAAGAACAATATAAAATCGTAACAAATCAACACAAATGCGATTTATAAAAAATAACATCTAAAATTCACAGTTGATTGTTTTTTCAGTATGTACGTTAAATATTTTGAGTAAAAAATAACTCGCAAGTCCTTGATCTGGTCTGTAGTTTGTAAAGATCTACCGTTGATGCTATAAGAATAAGTGATAGGAGACCGAGACCGATTAAATAAATATAATTTTGTTTATATCTCTTTGCAGTAATACAGCATCATGTTTGTTTCAATTAATTCTAAAAATCACAAGACCATTAATAAATATATTAAATAACATCGGACTTAAGTGGGAACCCTGTGGGCTCTAGAAATTACAGGAATACTATGAGATGTACACCCACTATACCTTACCATCTGGAACCTATCAGATACATAATTATTTACGTGTGAATAACAGTTGTTGTCTTCATTCAAAGTATATTCATATGAATATGTCTGCAAGAGTTCCTTTTCTCGCAAGTCCAAATGGAGAAGCTCATTTTGTTTTTTATTCCAGGTATCATACGCAAGACCTAGTTCAGAAGCAATCAAAGGTGCAAACTTGTACGTATCCGGTTTGCCGAAAAATATGACGCAGCAAGATTTAGAAGCTCTTTTCAGTCCATTTGGTCGGATAATCACATCACGGATTTTATGTGATAATATTACTGGTGAGTGAGAGAAACTTGTTGGGTATAGTGATTCGTCCACGATAGCCATATGGCAAACCTATCAGCAGAGCTTAATCGGATTCGGTTTCTAAGTCACAGAGGCGTTCAAAAATTTAGTCATCGATGCAAAAAAAGAAAAAAAATACTAGAAATGACGCGTACCTCCAGGTTCAGATCCCGCAAGCACCAATTTTTTTACGATCAAGTTTTTTTTTTAATATATTATGTTCGCTCAAAAAACAAACATTTTTTTCCAATTGATATCGTAAAAATATCATAATTTGCTGAACTTTGCTGTATGTTTGTCTTACCTTCGTATGAGAAGGCGAATATCACTATTAACTACATAATATTAAGTATTCGTTAATCTTTGGAACAATGTTATAATATTGTTTGAACACTGTTGTTCCAAAGATAGAAACTTCTATGCCACAATCACAGTAACATACATACAAAATACATAAACATACTTGCAGTTTGTTTATTGATTAAGGTTAATTTTTTATTATTTTCATAGGAAATTGTAGCTTTGATTTATTATATTTTTATTCAGAGTTACTGTTGACTGAAAATGACACATGATTATCAAGTTTTTAGGTATTGATATTATTTGGGCTTTTTCACACATTATTTATCGGAAGATCATCATTATCGGACGTTATCATCAAATTTTGTTGTTTCTTCTCATCTTTCCCAATCCTGTGAGAATTAAACTGTTTGTAATCAACTTTTTTTTTCTGATTTGTTAGATTGCATTTTTTTAACTATTTATTATGCGTCATCACGTTTTCAAATTCTCATCTTAATTTCGTCCATTTTCAAACCTCTCAAATTAATATATTTTTTTAAATATTAGTGCCTGAAAAACCTACCTAGTCGTGTGACATATTCATTGGCTTTTGATATTAATAGGTGTTCGTGGTATATAATACCCGAACACTGAGCTTAGGGCCGTATCGTCAGTCGTTCCTACAATTGTAAGACGCCTTAATGGCCTCCATGATTTTCATAGTTTTCTACTTTTCCGTGTCAGCGCTCTATTTTGAGGTTATGTCACAAATATCTATTTGCATCAAGATTTTCATGCTTTTGATTTATATGATGTCTTATCAGCCTGAAATTTCCTACTATTCAAAAAGAAAACATAACTTCACGACGCTCACATGAAACAGATGTAATCTAGAAATTTTTGAAGGAGAGAAAAGACTATCACAATCAAGGTGGCCATAAATGCGTCCTACAATTGTAGGGACGACTGACGATACGGCCCTTAGTGATTGTTGAGAAAAAATATTCGTACGATTTGAATTTCTGATTTTTAATTGAAGGAGCATAAGATTACAAATAATGGTAACTAAAATATAGATGGTAAAAGAACCATGGTTTTAGAATACAGTACAATCGAAATTAGATTTGCTTATTTTTTTAAACATCTTAGTCTACGAAGAAACGTTTTTAGCTTCAAATATGTCGGCTTTTCAATATTTGGAGTTTTTCAAAATTTGATAAGAATTCTATCAAATATAATGGATCATAATAATAAAATATATTCATATGCTGTTACGAATGATTCACAAATATTTACAGTTAAAATAACGATTTTGAAACGAATATTTATTCCCATCACTAACACTATAGTCCAGGCGGCTAGAGCATGAAAACGTATTGATTGTTGCATGAAGTAACTTCATTTTAAATGGTGAAAACCACAAAAAAATATTTGGGATGCTCATTTAAAAAAAATCCATAAAAAGTCCTTCATTTAAGAAATTTCTAACTCATTGCGTATTTTCTTAACAATAATTGAATTCGGGTTCTTGGAAGTAATACTAGCAGCGCAATCTGCAGGCTGACGAGCTTGTCCAGGTTTATTTTTGATACTATACTACCAGTAAAAGTCCGTTGATTATGTATCTTTTCGTAGTTTTCCCTTATAGCCTCTTTACACAATCAAATAAATTCACGAATAAATTGTGAGAAAAATTGATGAATTTCTTCAGGGTAACAGGTGGGGAAATTATATGATGCAATTTCTTCAAATCAAGGATACTAACTCATATAGTCACTTCCTAAGATATCAATCTCTGGAAATTTATTCATGTATTTATTGTTGTGAAAAATTGACTGTAATTTTTATGTTTAAACGGTCCAACTTCTTCAAGGCCAAAAAATTATTCAATTTACTGGATCGGGTAAAGCGACTATTGTTTTACTATATATATAAAAATGGAGACAAAAAATCCCTCGATTTTCTGTTTGCTTTTTCAATGTGTATTCCCAAGTATTGTTTAGTATGTCGTTTTTTATCATTTGAAACAAAACAAAAAACTAATTATTTTAAGCAACAATCTTTTGATATGAGCTACTGCCTGGTCTAACTCACCAATTTATTTATTGTTTTACTGTTCCTATATTTTGCGTTTTTTTTCTTCTCTTCCCTAGTACGTCAATTTGTCTCGGGGGCTGGAGATAATTTGCCTGGTATGTACCTTTCTCTCTACCATGACACCAAAAACTAACACCACCCATAACCACTAGTACCCACCCTTCTGGTTGTTCTGTTAAACCACGATAAACTTCAAAAATAAAAGATAATAATCAAAATAAAAGAACCTGTCCCATAATGGTCAACAGGAATCCCCCTAATCAATTGACGAACACTTGTTTCGGACTTTATTTTGCATATGTTTATTTGTTTTTTTGATTTATTTTGTATCTTGGCATGCTTTTATTTTGTTCCGTTAATATTTTTGTTCTTAAAAGCAGAGCAATCACTTAACACTACATTGACACTTTAATACTTCACACTATCATAGAGAGATTGGCAACGATATTGTTTTGATATTATTGCTACTCTCATCGTTTTCATAAATATAGGCTGAATTGTATACTTCCTTTTCGGTGTTTGTGCTTTAGATGTGCACACACTCCTATAATTTTCTTCGCGTAAACATCCTATAACCAAAGGGTAGTTATATCAAGAGAAGAAACTTCATGGAATGCCTTTATATCTGCAATATGCAATTTGCTATTTAGCCTCAAAATACGTAAGATTTGACTAGTTTCTAACATTCCATAGCAGTACGCGATCTAGCCAAAACTTTGCGGTCGGCTCTTGGACTATTACTGGTCCTTGGCTACCGAGGCGGTGTTGTCAAGCTGCCATAAAATATGTTTAATATGCCACATTTATGCTAACCAGAATGAAGAGCTCTTGTGCGTTGAGACTGAATTCGGCCTATATTTGTGTACTGCAGTGGCAGACTTATCAGCACTACTTTATAGAAGCATGTTGAAAAACATAAAATATCTCTTTAATATAGCCTTTTGTTGTAGTTAACTTTATTTGAAAGAACAATTTTACAGATGTTTCTTTTCACGGATATTTTGATATTTAGCCGAGCTAACAGTTCCGTGTATGAAGTGAAGTTTTGCCAACGCCAAAAGCAGATTTGCTTCCCCATATCTTCAAATCTGATGGAAACTTCACCTATCTCTTTAGGCAGTATTTTGTTTCTAATAACCCGAGATCGGTGGTCACCCACACAAACATTAAATTTTCATCGCTAAAAATAATCTTTTTCCAGTCTTCGTAGCCCACGCTAATCGCCTTTTTTCTGTTTTTAAAAATGTAAACCAGACTTACAAAACCACCGTATTTGTTGTGAAACATTTCCTGCTATTTCTTCATTCGCCTTACAAATACGAACAAGAGATCTTTGCATTCTAGGACTGATCTTACGTGGCATACCAACACCGTGTCTTGAAACTTGAGTTGAATCTGTGTCTCTATACTTTTTAACAATATCTGCCACTGTAGACGTGCGACATTTATTTGAAATTGATTCACAGAAATGATTCTTAAATCAAAACTTCAAATTGAAAACCCTTTTTAATCTCCATGGTCTGCTATTATTTTCTGTTTACTATCGTGTCCGAACATTTATATGGCAGCAAAATGTTGCGTTGTTATCAATATTGGTTTGATTTTATATTTTAATATCATGTTACTTGAAAATAGTTTTGTTAATATAATGTGCAAACAATATATTTCATTGTCTTACAAAAGAAAAACAATGAATTTTTAACTTTATAAAAACAAACTTTTAGATAAAATTAGATAATGTACGAACTTTTTTGTGTTAGGGCTCGTAAATTCTTGGGTGTTTATTTTGATGAAACTCTTACATGGTCAAATCATATAGATATTATTTCCGGTAAAGCAATAACACATTGCTAAGAGTATACATTATGGCAGTTGAAATTATACCTCAGCACAGACGTTTTGTTAATGTATTATTTTGTCTATGTATATGCTGTACTTAATTGCTGCATCATCTGTTGTAGAAACTGTACTAGGATTAACGAAATCTTTTCAACCCAAAAGAGAATCTTAAGAACAATATTTCGCATAAATAAGAGATTTGAATGTAAATTATTCAAGGACAATAATATTACGTCAGCATTTTCGTTTATATTTACAATTGCGTTGTTTATGTTGAAAAAAATATCAACACATTCAATCAGAGATACACAGACCAAAAACTAAATATCTAAACATTACGACTCCATTTGTAAAAATAAACATTACTACGCACCGCATATACATACTCATAATGTCGGACAAAAGTGGCGTACGCGAAAAAGCGGTGCTCAACCGTCCACTGCTCCATAATTTCTATTTGTAAAAATGCTAGGGACGCCCGAGTTGAACGGCACTCTCCCCCGAACAGGCGGAGAGTACTAGCAATTCCAAAAACATCCGTCCTTTGTGCCGGATCCTGTATTTATTTAAAACTACTTAAAATCACCTGAATGGTATTATCAGTGATATCGCATCCTTGACACTGCGCAATAAGTGTCAAACACATCACACGTTCTCTTAACAAGAGACATGTCTGATATGCTGGTTCTACCCCTAGCGCTGTAAAAAGTTGATCTCTTTGGCACCACAACATTGATTTTAGATAATAATTTCGGCCGATCAAGTTTATTATTAACCAGACTATGAAGCACTGTTATGCCATTTAATTGACGACGGTAAACAAATGTATCAAAATTCATGACTTGAAGTATCATATTGTGTAGGAAGCCTCTTCCAGGATATATGCCATAAACTTTGAAATTGATGTATTTCAGGCTCTTACGCTGGACAGATTCACAAGCTGAAACTGGCGACCAAACCAGCGCAGCATATTCCACCTTACCCCTAATAAAAGATGTATATATTGTTCACATCAATAAACCCCGACAATATTTCTAATATTTTATTTGAATGTTTGGCATCTCTCTAGATTGATGGTATCAATGTAGTAAGTAATCAGGATAAGATAAACCTTGAGAGTAAATCTCCAGCTGCTATGCTTATATTAAGTTTGTTGCAAACGCACCATTTACTCAACCTATTCAGGTCTTGCTGCAATTCCGTACAGTCACTGTAGTTTTTGAATAATTTAAGAAAAATAGCTTCAATTTAGATAGCTGCAATGCCAGGTCATTAATGTATATTATGAATAATAGAGGCCCCAGATTTGATCCCAAAGGCACCCCTGAAGTAAGAGTATGGGGTGAAACCCACATACTCGACGATTTGTGTCTATAAGACTGCGTCAGGGATACTAAATCTTCGGAAGATCAACTTTGTGATTGAAACGTTTACTGTAGTAAAGAAGATAATAATAATAATAATAATAATAATAATAATAATAATAATAATAATAGGCTTTTATTTTACCTAGCGAATATCAGCTATCTACTTTCACCACCAACAAAACAGTACGATTTTATTGAAGGGAACATATTTTTTATGCGGCAACAGTCTGATAAAGATTTAAATAAAATAAAATAAGTAAGCACTGTTAAAGTAATCTGGAACAATCGATTATACTACTGTATCTGCCAACAGATTGAAAAGAAAATGTCACGAACAAGCACTAACAAGGCACTCACTGAAAAAACGACTTGATGAAAGAAGGCTTGGAACAAAAAAAGAGAAGAGATTTTCCACAAGACACAATAAAACATATGCAAAAATTGCTTTATCTTTAGAATACCTAACACAGCGATTTTGAACCTTTTGAATCCTGTACGACTTAGCCTGTGTCAAGCATGGACCAAACACGGAATCACCATATTGTATTTTAATCGAAATCGGAGAATCAGAAGGTCTAATTTTCGTTTTTTTGGGAGAACGTTTTTATAAATATAAAGATCTGTCAATACATGTGGTTTTATTGGCCAAACAAGCATGGGAGATTATCTTTGCATGTGCTGACAGGTTTTATTTCTAAGCCACTCACTCAAGTTCTTTCACGTATAAAATCTTGATTTACGAATCATTTTTGTGTTTGCGTGTAGCAAGTTTGAACATTTGGCGTATAACCATTTTCCAACAATGCTGTTTCTTCTGTAGGTTTGTCTAAAGGTGTCGGTTTTATAAGATTTGACCAGCGATTAGAAGCGGAACGAGCAATCCAGGAACTCAACGGGACCATTCCCAAAGGGTCCACAGAACCCATCACTGTAAAGTTCGCCAATAATCCAAGTAATAACAATAAGGCTATCCCTCCTCTTGCGGCTTACCTCACTCCTCAAGCTACAAGGCGATTTGCTGGACCCATTCATCACCCAACTGGAAGATTCAGGTGAGTTCTTGATGAAAATACCGTATAAGTAAAACATACAACATTATGTTTCTTAGAGACTCATGCCGAGAAATCCTCAGGAAATTCGAAATCCGTGGATCTGAATGATTTCTCGCCGTCTCGTTCTCGGTTTTGCGTGATTTCCGATCAGTGTACCCGTATTTTATACCAGATTCAAAGTATTTTTCAAGAAGGACGAAAAATACACAATTTCTCATTGAGAAGGCACGCAAGCATCCAAAAAGCGTGAAAGCGATTAATTAGTCTACTGCCAATATCGTCCATTAGATGTGACTCTAGTCAACTGTGTTCTCGGCAGTCTTGGATTCGTACCGTGTGTAAGTGTTTAAGTAATAAAGCCAGAATTGGAAACGTTTTCCTTTCACTACTAACCCGAAAAATCGCCATTATTGACTGCAGTGCCCTATTGATTAGTAGGTTTACTCTCATTGGGTAAATAATGATAACAAAAAATACCTACCAAGGCTTGATTACCGACAGGCAGTATGGTTTCCCACGGGGGGCCTTCTAGCTTACATCACGCAACTGTATAGTAAACTCCTCAGGGGCCAAAAATAGGGGTTTGAATTAAAATTTTGACCTTGTTTATGCCACCCACAGTCACCGCGAACGCGTTTTAACACGCAGTATTTATAAGAATAGCCAAACAGTATTTGAAAAGTGGATTTTAATACAGGACTCGAATCCCGGAATTTAAATACAAAGTGGGTATTCGAATAATGGGATTGACAAGCGGTATTCAGAATCCAGAATTCCGAGTACTGGCCAAAAAGATATTCAGTTGAATACCAAATATATTCGAATACCAGTCAAATGTACTCTGAATAGTATTCAAAATACCGAGTATTGGAGTATTACTCAAGTCTGATTGGAAGTAACCCAGTTGTGTATGCTGGTAGATAGGCTTTGGTTTGATGGTTTCCAGTACAGTTAACCAATAATTGCTTACGTCTCAACCTATGTACCTCAACCTATCCTTCGATATTATTCTGTCATTTACTTACTACCTTATGATCGAAACAAGACATTTTGAGATACCCTCTACATAGATATCTATTAGAAGCAGACTTGGGCCGAATACTGAGATCCGGTATTCGAATACGAATCCTCTATACTGTAATACTCAAGATTCGAATACAAAGAAAAACGTATTTGAATACAGCTGTTTTGCTTAGCTTAGTTTTGAGTAGCTGTTTTGTTTGTGCCATCCAAAACCACCGCGAACGTGTTCTGACACGCATAAAGCGGCTCCCACGACCACGAGAACCATCTCCTGAGGTAACGGGGGGATAAAAAGGAAACGTCAATCTGCTGGTCTTAGACGGTCGTCGGCGCTACTTCAAAAAAAGGAAAGGATGACTGCGGGCGCATACCGTGGTAAATTTCCATAATAACAGAGTCAGATTTCGATTGGCGATCTGGCCCTAATAATCCTCATTATAAATATCCGAATTTATTCTTCCCTACTGTCGGGACATAAGTTTAGAAGAAACATTTACGTAACTAGTTGCGAGCCTTTACGTAACACCAGCGATAGCGATTATGAACACATTTGCAGAATGACTTATATACACGATTTTATATGAAATTGGACAACCAAATTATCTGAATACGTCCTTTTTTAGTCCTTAGATACCGCCGTGTTGCTTGGGCTGGCAGCACGAAGCAATGAACCCTTGTAAATGGCTTGGAATTAACTGCGTCGGAGCCGCCTTAAGTTGCGTAAAGCGCAACGCAGTATTCATACGAATAGCCAAACAGTATTCTATAAGAGGATTTCAATACAGGATTCAGATTCCGGGATTTGAATACAAAGAGGGTAATCGAATATTGGGATTGACAAGCGGTATTCAGAATCCAGAATACTAAGTACTGACCAAAAAGGTGTTCAGTCGAATACCAAATACTAAAAAATGTATTCGAATAGTATTCGAATGCCAGCCAAATGTATCCGAATACCTGCCAAACGAATTCGAATACCAGCCAAATGTATTCTGAACAGAATTAAAAATACCGAGTATTCGAATACTACCCAAGTCTGACTAGAAGTAACCCAGCTGTGTATGTTGGTAGTTAGGCTTTGCTTAGATGGCTTCCAGTATAATTGAGTTGACCTTGAGTTATCTTGCAGGTACTCTCCGCTGGCCGGAGACCTGTTGGCCAATTCGATGTTGCCGGGCAACGCGATGAACGGCTCTGGTTGGTGCATTTTCGTCTACAATCTGGCTCCTGAGACTGAAGAAAACGTTCTCTGGCAGCTATTCGGTCCTTTTGGGGCAGTGCAAAGCGTCAAAGTCATACGCGACCTTCAGACAAACAAATGCAAGGGATTCGGCTTCGTCACCATGACCAACTATGATGAAGCTGTCGTCGCTATCCAGTCGCTGAACGGATACACGCTGGGCAACCGAGTCTTGCAAGTCAGCTTCAAAACGAATAAGAGCAAGACTACATAGAGTGAAGGCAAACAGTAGACAGGATGTTCCCCGCGCCCTGATACATTTGTCACCGATACATCGTAAGGTTTCTTATCATGTCACTATATTTATCTACTTATTTATTTGTCTGCAAAGGTATATCACAAGTGTACAGTTTGTATTGTAATTGTCCCAAGAATCATGGATGTCGTTCATTGTGAGCGGGTTGTTTGGCAAACTTCGAAATTTGTCATGTGAAAGTAAAAGGCTTTTTTTAAAGAAGTCGTGTGCAATACAGAGATATATCAATGTATACAGGGTGTAAACGTTATGGTAGTCATTATTGAAAAGTCGATAGATTTTTGTCTAAATGGCTTTATACTTTACAACTTTAAGTGTTTTATATCGACCACAATCTTACTAATTTTTATAATCCAATCTAAAACGTTTTTAAATTGGGTAATTAACAAATAAATGGCATTAAATTTTTCTAATCGATCGCAAACGGTAACAGTGGTTAGTTATCCTTTTGCATAGTTTTTCGGCGTTGTCAGATTTATTTTACTTTAAAGTCACTTTTCTCTAAAAAAATGCCGTTTTGACCCACATGTTATATGAAACTTTTTGCTTCTTTTAACCCCCTCTATCACCCATTTAAATAATGGCTATCATAATGTTTACACCCTGTATATTTAACTAGTTCAATGAACTGTCACAAAAAATATGATTTCTGATTTTTGATTACAATACACTTATCCAAAATGACCTTGAAGGTTATGGAGCGGTTGCATTTTGCAGATTGACTCGGTATTTAAGGATATTTATATTTAGTTTCAGTGACTTGATGCGGAATAAGATGCTATTTACTGATCAATTTTAGATAAATTAATGTGACTGCACTATCAGGGTGCTGTGAACCTAGGGTAAAGTACCTTCCCTAATTAAAAAAAAAATAGTACTTATACAAAATACGATGCTAGTCAGAAGTGCATTCACGTTTCCTATGGCAAACATTTTTACGGTCTCATGTTTTTGTATCCCAATATTAAATAAATCTCGTGCCATTGCAAATAATTGCTACTGGGAATCACCAAAAGAATCATATTTAATTCAGTTTAAAAAGAAAAATTTTTGTATTTAGTATTTATTATAATATGCTGAGTAAGTCGAAATATCCATAAAGCACAATATTCCGCCAGAGAAACATTTTTGCTCGACGAGATTTTGGTTTTGAGCACATGACTTTCACATTGACTTTGAAACTGAGCAAAAAGCAAGAGATTGAAAAGTTCAATTTGTGTTTTTATTTATACATTTGACCTTGGATGCCATTCTATGGTAGGTTGTGGATTCCTATTTAAAAAATGTAGTTGACCTTGAAATTCTACACCAAGGCCATTTGTGCAAAGAACATCGCTGTGATGTCATATTATGTAATATATGTACACAAACTTTAATCTTGGAATGGCATCCAAGGTCAATGGGCTAAATTTCAATGTTATTGTGATGGTCAGTGCATCGATTGTTTTTTCTCTGATGGGATAATTTGCTATGTGAATAATTTTGATCAACTGAGTATTTTTTTGTAAGATTAATTTATCCATGTCTTAAGTAGAGTAATTTATGTATTTGTATGTAGTGTTTTTTGTGTATTATTCTTAAAATGAAGCTAGTCGCATAGCAACGGGCACACAGAGCAGCCAAATAATAGTTGTTTGTTTTGTGGTATTGCAATCTCGTTGCACTTGTGTTTTTTTGTATTTCATAGGGTGGAAATGGTAGTACGGACAAACTATAATGAGGTGTTATGGTAAAAGTCCGTATAGCTGACTGCTCTTCTATTCTTATATGTGTGTTGTGTTTAGTTCCACATTACTACCAGTTTTTCTAACATCATATGAGCTTTCTATCCAGAATGCGTGGTTTTGCTTACAATGCCAACTGTTAAGCGAGAGGTGAGACCACAACTGTCTATATTTCATTCTTTTCTTTATTTTTCTTGGAGAATACCATGTTTATTTTGCTACTTCATCTATTTATTTAAACTATAATTTATTAGTTTGGTTTGTTATTAATTTATTGCTGCAATTTATTTTGATCAAATGTTTGATTTCATTCTGAATATTAATTAAAGTTTACTTATGATTTTAATTTAGTTTTTATTTTTCTTTCTTTTCCCGCTGTTGTGTCTCGTAGTGTAATCGCTGAAGAGGACCCAATATGCAATAGCGTCTAAATTATGGAACTTCCTTCATTTTTCACCTAGAAAAATCCCGGGAAACACAGTTATTATCTTCTTGGGACATTTGCCAATCTTCTTTCAGTAAGTATTCACCTTATACTTGTTACTTAGCAATTTTATAGAGATATTCAAAAATCAAGAAAGTTCCATGCTTTTAGCCACTACTGTCGATATAAAAAATATCTATCGCCTATTTCACCGAAGTTCATCTTTGCTCATCAAACTCTAACTACGCCATTATTTTCTGAAGCTGCCATACACGCTAATAATAATTTGTTTACAAATACACAAAGTTAACATGTATGGTCAGCTTAGACTCTAGTAAAAATAATGATCACATGGACCACGTTTATCTCGTGAAGGGTTTGGATTAATACTTGATTAGATTATCCTAATCTCACAGCGTTTATGACGCAATAAAAACAAAGAAATACTCCCTACGTGTTCTTTATTTAGCTTCATATTTCACTGAAATTTATAATGACCGAATATTATCCAGGAAGTCCCCTGTAAACAGCTAGCCTAATCTCCAAACTTGAAATCACACGGGAACGGCTAAATGTCAACATCCAGTTCTGTTAAAGTCAGCGGCAAGCGATGGATGACGCTCGTAATCAGTGTGTATGCTTGCCGGATCCAATCCAAAGGATAATCTAAACCGCCAAGAAATCGGATTGGGATCTTCCTAGGCGTTTACTAACGATTTAAGGGCCGATTGTGGAGGGTAATCCAAATTAAATCCTCGAGATAAACGTTATACATAAAATGACATATTTTTCGATACATAATTCGTTGCTGTCATTTGAAAGGTCATGAAATGAATTCTTTGAGATAAGCGATAGAAATAACGCGCTATGCACAAATGGCAGTCCGAAAGATGACGCTGAATATATTCTGGCGATTGGTGTCATCTTATAACACAGACTAACCCACTTCCACTTTGAAACACTTTATTTTTATAAACAGGCATACCTTGCGATTGGAATGAAGACGATAGACTATTTATAGAAAATTTTAAAATGCGGCACACTGATCGCGTATATACTTATTATCGGGGATATAGATTTATCAGTCACAATTTTATGATTTTCACCAGTCGCTCGTCAAGTTTCACAGTTCAAGCTCAAATACTCGTACAAATTCTTTGGGAGTGAAAGAAAAAAAGCAATGCATGTTAATCCATTGCCTTGCTCTAAGATAGAAAGCCTACCTACCTAATATGTCCAGAGGAAATGAAAAGGGGCATTAGTCCAAAATATTGCGAAGTTCCTAAGAACTCGTGGCTAATCAGCAACTGAATCCCGAACCACTTGCCATTGTGAATATTTGATATTTGTATTTGCCTATTGAACTGGAGATCATACTGAAACGCACACACCCAGTTAGCAATACTGGTTACAAACCGTATAAAAATATGATTTTTTTTTCGGAAAAGACGAACTAAAAAGTACAATGAATAACCGAGGAGGCCGAAATTCTAGTCGAATCACATTGGGACGAGTATGGGATATTTCTGTTTTCTACTTTGCGTATAAGCTCTTAGAAAAACATCAAGTAACTTAGATGCGCACACATAAGGAGCTACCTGCCAGACACAGGTGTTTCAACGTTTAATCTGTCAAAAGTTTAGGCTAACCGACAGAAATGTTTAGATAATGACAATTTAAGTCGGAACCGAAATCGTAGCAAAATATCTGTTAAAGCAATACACGATTTTGATATAACGTAATGCATAGGCAAACCCGGATATAGTTTGGTTTATGGAAGTCCTATATAGTGTAGTAGACAGTATGCGGTCTTCTCAATGATAGCTTTAAAGATGAGCGGGGATATCTTGTGGACATGCGGTTGACTGTCTTTGGGACTAGTCTCGACTTGAACGAAATATTCATACACCTTACTCACTATTTTTGGCTACCATGATGTAGTGTCATTTTGATCAGTTATAAAACTGCATCAAATAACATGGATAGAGGCTGAGCAGATTGCGTTCAAGGGTAGATTGATTGAAACTTCTGTCAAACATGGTTGATAAAGGTGGTTTGTCATCTCTCCTCCTCAATAAGTGAAGGAACGAATATGCATTCTACCCTAAGGTTTGCCAATCGTGCATGTCAAAAGCTATCTATCCTTGAATGCAGTTTGGAGGCTACACCAAGTAGTTCGTTAATGGTGAGGGTAGGTGTGTATGTCCTTGAAAAACTATGTAGATATATAATCATCAATGCCAGTAGTTTTTCTTCCTGCGATTCCCTATGTGAAATGCTGTGATCTTAAATTAATTCGAAGGTATAATGTTTGGTGTAGGTTAGATTGTATGAGGAGAGTTAGGTGATATAACCCGTACAGCATCAGCTGTAGCAGCACGATATTGCGATATACCCAAAGTTTTAACCTAGTTACTCAAGATAACCTAAAAGGTACAATTAGACTTGATTATGCAATATATCAAAACCTCGTTGAAAACATGTGATAAAGTATACTCGAACTAATCATGGTTACCTGATATATCCATGCATTAACTTCAGTGAAGTTTTGCATTAAATTATACTCTACCGTTTCACTTTTATAAGCCCATTTTGTGAGTGGTGGTATTTTTACGATAAAACCACATCGACAGGGCAATATCGTATGCTTTTCTAGAGGTATGGAACTTTAAAATGGGATAAAACAAAAATGTTTATTGTCGCTTGACTTGAAGAAACTGGATTCTGAACGACCAGCTTTACTGATCTGATATTGTTGAATCCATAAAAAATAATCCAACATATGGTCTTAAGTAAATTGACGTTTCGCACGCCGCGTGGCATCATCTTACTGAAACCGCATTTCGTTCACGATTATTCCGTTCATTTCCTCGTTTTATAATATTTTTAAGTTCTATACATTGAAAAAACACTCGATATATCCGTTTTCGTAATCAATTCTTACAAGTTTTTTCGTAACCAATTCGTGTTAAAGCAATATAATAACTCAAAAGTGACAGATCTGAGACGATGGATTCTTTTGATTAATAGGTTCAAGTACTCACGCACAAACAAATGCACATCCCTATTTATTTGTAAAGAAAAAATGAAAATATGAAGAGAAAAGAACAATTTCACATTTGAGAGTGAGACTCATTTCTGCCAAACTCCCACCTTGACTCGAGTTTTCATACTAAAACTTGTGCTGTCATAATCCAGCCTCCACATAATAATGTGGAGTATCAGTTTCATATACAATGCTCTCAAAGACCTCAAGTAGAGCTTCGCTTGAGATCTCTGCTATATCTCCTTCTTTGGGTTTCCCCCATTTCATACATGTTTATATTAAATATGCGTCTTTGGTATCGTACACATTCCAATTACATTGCATTTACACTGTACAAAGTAGGTAAAGCTCCACATAGTGTCATTGAAGAATGAATATTGTATTTTGAGGTACGCTCATACATTCCAATTTTGTCCAAAGTGCGAGAAGTTTCTTTCAATCCACAGAGCTCTCTCGAGTCCAGCATAGTATAGTAAGACCTCTGACATATCTAATAAAATGTGAGTGTAAGAGATATCTACGTACTACGTCTTGAATTATGGATTATTTATCGATTCAGGGTTAAAACAGAATTACCATGTATGGAACTACAGCACAAAGTTTGAACACATATCAAACCAAATGCTGTTGAAGCTTCGTGCGTTCCTATCTATTCCATACCGCGGAGATTGAGCATAAGAGTGGTGAAACCCAAATATTTACTGTACAATGCTGTATAGCATCGATTGCTAAATTTAACCAGTTGCAATTGGTGAAGAAAATCAACTATCAAAGTTTCCGAACTTTATCATTTTAGCAGACCGCGATACTACGCGCAGATGCGAATTGGGCGCCATTTTCCCCAGATTGAAGAAATTTGGAGCAATTTCGCAACCGTGCACCGTGACAATGAATAGAGATTTTGAAGGTCGGGATCGAAATTTTTTCATTATTTCCTTGATCTGGAGAAATGCCGCGCCATTTCCTGCACGGAATTTCACATTATTTTGAGATTCAAAGCATGGAGGTGGAATGATGAATGATATGAGTCAGCTAACAAAGAGGCTTCCTCAATATGCGACAAGCAATCGCGTACGCCGTACGGGTTTAAAATGTACAATCTTAAAATCATAAGGCAATAGTTGGGTCAATCCATGTCTAATCAATCTATCGGTTTTGGTGGCATCCGAGACATTGTTTTGATTTTGGTATTGAATAATAACCTCTAGGCTACTCCTCCGATACTGAATGAGAGAGAAAAAGACAACAATAGCGTCCTAGTGGGCCATTTTTAGCACCTCTATCAATGTTGGTTTCAACCTAAGGTGCTTCGTGTTGAAAGTGGGCATCGAATTTAGAAAAATATCGAAAAATCACCTTTGAGAATTTTGTCTGGAACAGCGATACGAAATGCCAATATGATCAAAATCGGAAAACTTTGATTTCAAATTTATAGACGTGGAATGGCCCAATTCGAAGCACAAACTAGGCTTTTTCCTGAAGAAACTGAGCTTGACATGGATCCAATATTGTCAATCGGGTGCCATAAAAGTCTATCTTATCATTTTACCATGGCAAATGGGCATTTCACGTGAGGTGTACAATCATAAAATTCTTGATCATGATTTCGTAGTTTCCATGGTTGACGATGAGCGCATAGCACATACTCTGTATAAGGCAGCAAATTCTGAGGAGTACGGTTTCGATAGCTTTAACGTTACACAGAGTGCAAATGCAATGCGATGAATGTTTAACCAGTCATTTTGCCCTGAATTTGAGAAAAATTATAAAAAATGAACTCGCTAAACATATAATCTCCCCAGAGATGACAAGAACAATCCATATATAACTGATGGCAAACCATTTATACCGGATCTAACGAAAAATGTAACAGAGTTTCTGCTAGGGCTGAACAAGAAAAACCCTGAAACTCTAGTGACACTGTGTACATGCAGATTACGTTGGCCATATTATTAAAGTGAAAATATTTCGCCGTAGCAAAATAGATGCTTCGTAAGTCACTAACGTGGTGTTACATTGGAGTTATGTAAAAGCTACGTCAGCAGTGGCGTACGATAAGTTATGTTGATCTCTTCCATTTTAGTATATTACTATAGTAGGTATCTATAGCAGAAACAATACACAAAAGATCTTGAATCATGTTGATTGTCTCTTCATGTGGAATGCAAAGTAAGATGAGGTGAATAATACTGGTGATATCACGCCCTTTCTAGGGTTTTCTTCTAGAAGCCTGGTATACTAGCGACGTAGATGATGTTATTCGTTTAACTGGCCTAAATCGAAACACGTGTAGACTAATTCCATATACAGAACAACGATATATTTCAAATGATATTACTTATATATATCTGTCATCAATGCTTATTTACCATTCTTAGCTTCTATTTGACTAGTGTTCGCTATATATGATATGACTTGCTTAATGTTTTTCATTATTAATTGATGGTTGATTATTAATTAATTATAATTCATTAACGATACCGTATTGCACTATTGCATATGCGTATCGTATCTATATCTACATAAGTGTTAACTCTTTGTGTGTTGTGTAGATTACTAGTATAAGTGTAACATAGTTCATATTCCTATTGTTTACTTTTTCTCTATGTGTGTAGCTGGTGTTTTTTCTCTCGATCGTATTGGGGCTGCCCGCCATATCCTTGTAGCTTCAATACGATCGCAAAGGCGGCTTTCGATTTTCCAGCACATCTAACTGTCACCAAACAACGTCCTGGGACTCTAAGCTTGTACTTACATAATCAGGAACATTATCCATTTATTAAACGAACGAGTAAAACCCTTGTTACAGATACAAAACAGTCTTGAGTAAAGAATTACATTGTAAGAAGACCGAGTTATGGATCCATTTAAACCATATTTTGTTTGATGAAAGGGAACCAAGAAAGCATCAGTGAAACAGCTGGGAACAAACAATGTGACCATTTATAATTTTGTGCAATAAAAATATGGTCTAAGTGTCTTTGTAGCAATTCAGTATCATGTTTGTTCCCCATAATTCTAAAAATCTTAACATCACTGCGTACTAAACTCACAAGATCATTAATAAATATATCAAATAACAACGGACCTATGCGGGAACCCTGCGGAACTACAGAAGTTACACGGATTAACACGTGTATAACGGAAAAAATGTGCATTGGCCAATAATAATGCAAAAAGACGTTTTATGCCTCAATAGCAATGAAATGGAACTCAAAATACTAATAATATTAACATTTTCTCTGAGAAATTCAACTTTAGAGCCTCCATATGTACTGAAATTGGTCTATGATATAACATACAGGCGCCATAAAGATATAAATAGCTGGAAAAGAGTATTGTCGGCTGGGAAACCAAAAACTTCGAAGCTTCTGTTTGTATCAGGTCAACCCTACATAAAACGGTGGCATTCAGTTTTCGAAATGGTGAAAACTATTTAATGGTTAGACTGTCTGTAGCACAACTGAATTTTGTCTTTGACAACCTTGTTACAAAGGTGAACCTTGAACATCAAACTTTTTAGCTTGAAATATATGAATCGTTAATATGATATAAACTAGGAAAGGAAAGAGTCGAACGTTAAGCTGCAAATCAATATTACTGAACTTTGAACTATTATCACCCACATTATGATATAAAATTGAAATCAAGATTTAAATATTAGCAAAATAACTTATGTCACAGCAAATTCTTTGTCTTTTATTTGATATAATCAAGTCCCGTAACCACTTTCTTTAAAAAAATTCGGCCTCGAGTTTAAGCACCCGAAACATACGATCTAGAGAGATTATGTACATGTGCCTTAAAAAAACATCTGTTGTCATGGTGTACATTTTGCGTACACTGGAAAATTTGGCGATCCGTATGCAGATTCTAATTTCGGAATTGAACATTTTCTTCCAATACGTCTTCCCGGTGAGAAGTAGTTTGAATCTATAACATTTCAAAATGGATGTTGTGAGATGTATGTATTCTACTGTTTTTTTTATGATTTTGAATAATCCGACATATGGCATTAAACATTTTAACCGTTTTTTTTTTGTCTCGAGAAGGAGAATAAAGGAAGTAATATGTTGACCTCGAACCAACCTGCGTTGACGAATATACTTCTCACCAAAAAAAAAAATCTATCAATTCCAGAAATTTACCAAATTAGAATCTTTCATTAGAAAAGCAGCTTGAAGCTGTTATCACAATGTGCCTTGTATTGCAGCTAAACGTTGAACTTAAGTACGAATTCGAAAAAAAGATTTCTGAAAACAGCGGATGACCGACAGAAAAATGTTTTGCAATATATGGAGGTGCTTGATTAAAAAAAATCTCGACGCATATTCTGTGATGTTACCACTAGACCATGATATATCTAGAATTTCAGTAAAAAAATGTATAGGCAGATTTAAACAACGCCATATGAAAAAGTTCTTTATCCAGAGAGAAAAAAATTAAACCTTTCTTTAATCGTCAAAATTGAAAAGCATAAGTTTTGGTCGTATATGAAAACTATGAGGTAATTAAAAAACTGCTTCAAAGGAAACTTGTAGACCTAGCTGCAAGAGCAAAGTGCGCGCAAGAAAATGGTATTATATTGCCGTGTCTTGGTATAAAAACTACTTAGACCTGAATCATTTACTGCCACGAATATAATTCCGCTGTAAAATCTGTCTATACATTTTTTTCTATAACAGGGTCCATTTATGGCCCATTTACACAGCCATACGATACTGGGTTCCAACACTTTGGATCCTGTGACCGAGATGCAACCTAAGGTAATGAGGGCGGGTCCCAAGATATATTATATTTATGTATATGTATGACTAGAGAAACAATAGTGATGCAATAAAATAAATTTTGTAGATGGTATGAATGCCATAACTAATAGATAGTGACCATTAGGTCACGCAGCGTTTATGAAGCTTTGATATCAATATTTAGAAGCTTAGATTGGCTTTGGTGAAAATAAGACATGATTCATAGGGTAGATTGGATGGTTGGTTCAGTCAGATTTGCTGGAATATCTTTAGCAAGCATAACTCGGCTCCGCGTTTGAAAGCGGGGCTAAGCTCAAACATTGTTGTGACGAGAACATTCCATTATTTAAAAAATCACTGATTGATATTTACATATATTATATATACTCATGCCTATATTCTATCTGTTTTGATAAAATTGTGGTTACTATTATAAATATCTGGTGCAAAAGTTATATGTACAGAGGTTATATATTAGGAAGTACAGTACCTCATAACTGTAATTCATGCAATAATATAATGTAAGGCAAAATCTAATTACAATATTAAACTTTAGCTTTAGTAGTTTTAAGAAGCGAGGTTTATACGATTTCTTGACATTTGACGCTCGATTGACACGTCCGGGGCGTGTTCACCGAACGTCTGCCCTCCCCTTAACTGCTAAAGTCACCCTTAACGCATCTACTTACACAAGGTTTCAAACCAACGCATTTCAAAAATTCAGATATAGCAACGGCATATGTCATATAACAAGAACAGTTATTCTTTTTATGTTTATCATTTTTGGTTTAACAGCAACAATAGGTATTGAATCCAGAAGTTGGTTTGAAACGTGTTGTGCATACCCTTGGCCATCAAAATTTGCTCTACACAGACCACAAGCTAAAATTTCATCAAACCTTGAACCTCATTGAAAATATGTAACTTCGCTTGAAGGTGATTAAGTATATACTGCAAAATCGGTATAGATGCGAAAGGACGTCTGGATAATCGCTGAAAAAAGCAACAGCATATTCGGAATTTATGTTAGGGCTGGAACACGTACATCAAATTTTGATATTTCTTCTCTTAAACGAGAGATGCCACGAATATTCGGTTATTAGTAGTAATAATAATAATTTATTGGTGTTACTATACAAATGTCAAAAGAGTACTTGTTGAAAAAGCATGTCTGCCTTGACGAGCGCTTAGAAAACAATTAAAATGAAAGAAAAATGAACTGTAACTCATATAGACATACAAACAAAGTGCAAAAGCGAAGCAGCAAAATAATATTCGGCATCAGGTCACTATTTTTAATGAAAAAATATCACATTTTTCTCAAATATAAATATATTTTATCATCAACAAGCATTGCAATTATTGATTTATCATAGGTAAGTTATGATAAATTAAAGGCATTTTTTCATAGCAGTTGATTCCGCTTTTCGTCATACACATCGTTTTGATATGTTTCACTATTCGTGGCACCTCTAACGTAAACGTTTGATGAGATACGTAGACATGTTTTCAGTGAGTAGCTTTCGCTACAGTTTGAATTGTGACGAAATTTTGTCGTTCATTCAAGTTAAACCTAAAACGACTATACTATACTAATCGCAAAGGCATTCAACATCTATTTATAGAATTATGTTCCTTGACAATGTTTAATGGCAGCATATCATGCCAAATACTGTGCACTTGAATCGTGATATTTCGCGATTATTTGTAGTTGCAAATATACGTTTCACGTAATACACAAAATAATTTACGTTAGAAAACTCAGAATTCAGCCACATACGCGCATAGTGAACAAAATAGAGTGAAAGAAACTTTAACATTAGATCTTCCAATTTAAACGAGAAACTTCCCTAGCAATTTCAAATGTGATAGCTTAAAGATTTTCTATACATTTTCCGCCAACAACAAAAATTATACTCGTTTTAGGTGTTTCTGATATCAGCAAATGATAGATAATGCCAAGTGGTGCATATTACCTTCTTTTTATACCCTACCCGTATCTACAAAATCAACTGCATTACCAAAAACCAAACAATCGGAAATACAGGGGTCTACAAAAAAAAAACGCAATGATTTTACTAGCAAGCTATGCCATTGAAAATGTCAAACGTTACGATATCAGAGGAAATCTTTGTTTTTTTTAACTCAGCTATGACGGACGTTAGAAAGTTCAGTATTTCCAAATGCAAATAAACTTATGGTGCTTTGATACAATTTAATATCTAGTTATCCTGAGAAAGTACTAAAACGTGATATGCCATGAAAAATCATTCAATACTTTTCAACACATAGGGATGGTGTATTTAAAATATGTACTAAAAATCTTGATAATGATCACTAGTAAAGTTTGTTCATATGGTAACTTAAAAAGTATATTAAAAAGTTTAGACAAATCTAGACAGCAATTGTAGTGAGAATAAGTTTTATATAATTCATGTACCTGGTATGATGCACTGTTCTACTCATATATCGGTGGAAAATGCATTTTTGAAATAACACTTTAAAGTTTCTAAATAATGTTGTCCAGAAAATATATTAGCAAGGACTTAACTAACCTTTATGGCATTTTTATCAGTATTATTGGACACTGAAATATAATATAGATCATATTCCTTAGAATTTACTGTAGTCTGTTTTATATACAATATATAGATTAAGAAAACATTGAACTAGAATATTTGTGGATCTTTTAACAATATCATCAATAAAATAAATCTTTACCCGTTTATATATTTACTGAAATCGTAAGTTATTTTCTGGATTTCAAATCCACATCTTTTCACAATGAAGTATCTCAAAATTTTCCGACGAGTTAAAACTCGGTTGGGAAATCATAAAATACGCGGAAATATGCAATGTAGAATATTTAATCTTAAAGATCAAAGAGTATATGGGAGTAAGAAATCTACTTCAAAAGTTTATTTTTAAGCAATCTACGGCATAAAAGCAGTATTTGCAATAAATTTATAGCTGAGATTTTTCGTATGAGCGAATATATTTTTGAAAAAACAAAACATCTTGAGAGGTAGGAAAATATACAGAATTTGAACCCAACCCTTCGTGAATTGGCCTTTGCTTTGTCCTCTCAAGCTGTTAGCTGTTTTCAAAAACATATTGATGCTGTAATAATAAGAAAGTTATCACCAATAAAGCACGACAAAGTTCCAATCAGAATATAACATGAATGGAATGAGATGAAGGTGGAGAAAATATTTTTCACAAGCTTACGTTTACTTGTACATGACAACTGTTCACTACTACGGCTACTCTAGAGCAGACTAGGCTTATAAATAAGCAGTAACAGTAAATGTCATGTAAGGAAACAAAGTTTGCGTTTCTTTTTTTATTAATGTTATTTCAATTTTTGAGAAAAGGGAGCAGATGAATGTTTGGTTTCGTTGGTAGTGCAGGTATGAACGTGATTGTTCCTTATTTTAAAAAGGGCAAAGAACGTATATATGCTTAGGGGAGGCGGTAGATGACATATCAAATGAAAGTACCAATCACGAGACTAGTCAGTGACTTGGTGTGAAATGTAACCCCGCTGATTCAAGTCTTGAAAAAGCCCCAATCCTGTGCTATAGGCAAATCAGTCTCTGATGTGCCTTTAGATATATTAAACGTTTATATACATTTAACCATTCCCGATCAGAAAAAAACACACCGAAATATCCGTTACTGAATACAGAAATGAACGCGGATGACTTGACTATTTTTGATACTCACTTTAATATCTGAGTGTCACATCGGATATTTACTGACATGGAACCAAGCATAGGGTTTGGGTTGACATGAGGACTCTATGGAACTGAACTGATCACATACTGATTACTACTAAGATAATTCTATTATGTGCTAAATCAAGCGACAGGTTCACTTACAGTCACTGAAACCACCATTAAATTACCCTTTCATACACCCGGTTTACATCATCAATCTTTTCACCAATTTATTCAGACGGATTTCTTCAAGGTCATCCTGATTAAGTTTTACAGTGTTTATATCAATGAACAAATTCATGGATGATCGTCAGTAGTCAGTGCAACCAACCACACAACAGATTCTTGCTAGAAATATTTTGAGCCTGTATGTCTATTGTGGTTTTGATTTTGAGGCGAATCCCATAAAGAAAAAACCTTATTGTTTAATACTGTACTTCTATCAAAGATCTATAGCTGAAGTGGAAAGTTGTTCAATTTAATGGAAAGAAAAGCAAGGTTGGCACCATGAAATTTGAACAAGTCCTTATTTCGCCAAGAAATTCACGAACTTCATGGATTTTTGTTTTGAACTTTCGAACTTGGTCTCAATTCTTGAAGAAATCCGCGGATTTATTGTCAATGTAAAACGGACAATACACTTTGTAGACAGATAGATCAAAACAATTAGAAGAAAATTTTTCGTTTGAAAGAGGGTAGAAATCAAGGGAGACATTTTAACCCTGACTGGATGATGAAGTGAAACGAGAAAGTTCACTTTATAGGATAAAAGTCAAGTTAAAGGTACTGTCCAACGTAAGTTGCATATGCACGTGCCGGGAACATGTTGCGGAGGAAATTTGTTATAATGGAAACGTACCTCAATGGTAATGGTAAAATAGCATTTCATCGGAATATTGAACTGTATTCGATGCGATACGTTAAAATAGTGGTTTAGTGGTGGTGGACAGTTACTAAATAGCCGTAATGCGTTAAAATCGCTGTTCCGACTGGGTTTAACATGCGCTAAAGCTCTATTCTATGCTTCAGTCGAGTTTCTTGCCAGCAACACCATCACATATTGAACTAAATGTACAAAATTTACCTATACCCTGAGGAAATGTCCTATAACCTTGCAAGTTCAATGAAATTTCCGTGGTAAATTTGTGATATAGTATAATATACAGTAAGTTGATGCCAAGCATAGCTAACAATTTTTGAGGTTTACTGTAGCTCATGTACATATATAAGGGCAGTTGTAGGTGATATATTAGCGTTATTCGAGAAGATACCACGCAGAAAATGTGGTGTTGGCAACACGAAACCTGTCCAGAAGTATAGGCCCATTCAGGTTTTAAACTGTAATTGGGGTAGGATATTCCTCTGTATCAAAGTATACAAACTGAAGAATAGTAAAACCACTCTCACTTTCATGTTCGAACTCCAGACAGTTCAGGAGCCCCATACTTTTTTGGTGCTAAAAATAGCTACTCACGGCGGTCACAGATACCCGGCTGCTTCGCGGACGGGGGACAGACGTAGGGGGAATCTAGTTTTACTACGGGGTAAAGAATTGGTATTCTGATTACCAGACCAATAAGTATTAGAACTTTTCAAATTAAAAAAGTTCATCAAGATGAATAATGCGATTTTTTTACTGGTCTCGTGGTTAAAATCAAAGAATTTTTCATAACTTCGACTCACTTGTACCTCAAAGGTGGTTGCCTCCCGAACTGAATCTCCTCTGGATGTATAAATGATCCATATTGCCAAAATAAATTTTTCCGTGATAGGTACAATCTTCTCGTAAAACTATTTTTGATATCATTTTCGATGTAAATCTTCCAATTGCAGTATATGATTTACTAGTTAGACATTTGACAGCGTCAACAAAGAACGTAGTAGCTTTTCAAGTCGACGATTTGGGTTGCTTATTTTTATCAACAATTTAGGCATCTTTTCACGTCAGTGCACATGAAATAGCCATTAATGTATACAATCTCACGAGCAGAAAGAAGCATCAAAAAATTTCTTCCTATGTATGTCTCCTTCTTGGGAGGAAGCCAGTGCTTGACGGCCAAGTAGCGTTTGCCTTGATTGTTAAAAGTGCAGGTCAATTTTAAATGAAGGAACCGCTTTGATGAGGCTGTCCGTCGATCAAAAAATGTCTGCTTTCTGTGAAGGGTATTAAGTTCGAACATGAAAGTTTTTTAGGCCGAGTGATTTTATGACCTTTGAGTCTGTGTTCATTGGTTTCTTGATATCCTCAATTATGATTAGAGACAAACAAAACTTACCTATGTAAATATGAGTCAGATCTTGTCGGACTGAGGTATTGACGACACTCTGTGTTTCCAAACCGTTTAATTTATTCGTTTAGTGATAACGTATGTTAAGTTTACCTGACGGTTATTTGACTTTTCTCTTGCTTATTGTCCAGTGTCATATGCTGCATTTGTGTGTATTTATTGTCATTATTCAAGATGTTGTTTGGATGTTATCATAACCTATCTATTTATTGTATCAGTACTGACATTAGTATTAGTTTAGAGATTGTGTAGTGTATATTGGACCATGAACGCAGAGTAACGGTATACCTTGAACATTTTAAATGGAAGGATCGCAAAACGGAACCAGGTGGGTCATAAAATAGCACGTAAGACGAAGATACACTGGACACTAGCAAATACCTGAGAAATTGCAATGTTTCAGTTGACTACTGCGCTAGCATACTACCGATGCTCTTCCGTTATGGTCTCGCAAAAGACAATATGTCATAAACAATGGTTTTTGTTGGGCCATAATGGAAGTGAAGCAGAGATGGTCAACATAGTTCATTTTACAATGCAATTGTGTATTCCAGAGCTAGAAGCCAGTGTAATGCAATATTTGTACTTTTCCATGTTGAAAAAACTCAATACAATAAAGTATAAAAGCTACATTTACAATGGATTTTTTTCGATCTTCTAAGTACTTGTTATATAATAATGTATAAATAGATCCGATACTATACTAATCCATTCCTGTTGATTTCTTCATTTTAACCCCCACCTAAACACCATAGCCTATGTTACCACAAATACATAGTCGCCCTTTCACATGAGACCAGCTTATTTGCCCTGACAGTGTGAGTGAAGTCAAATATTTTTTTAATGAAGAAATGCGCCCATTTTGTTTCTCATGTTTCCAGAAAGCCTCAAATTAATAATTTACAACTACAGATAATGAAGAGGCGTCAGATAGGAATATATCTTTAGCACTCTCAGGTGATAAGGCAAATAAGGCTAATCGCAATAAGGAGACCCCAAGGATAACGATTATGTATGCCTATGCCCTGTATTCCTGGGAATTCGAGAAATATAGGAAGTGAAATGAAAACACCGCCTAAATGATATCCGCCTTATCAAATCTCTGGACGGAAAGCAAGCAGCACTTGATCAGCGTTGCAATGGAATTCCACGTTTTTTCTGGCAAGGTTACAACATTTATAAGGGGAGTTTTTAGTGTCTAATCGGTGGAGAGTTCCGTTATTTTGAAAAATATCTAAAAAAATTAATTAAATCGTTGGCAACAACAAGCACCTTTCTTGGAAAATACTGCCCTATATTCAGGGTGATTCATAACTACATACGAATATAAACATACAGGGTGGCGCATCGAAAACGAAACAGACGCATTTACTGGCCTCTGTTTTTTTTTTAAAACGCTCAGACCCGTCGATTTTGTTTTCGAGGGGGACACAAGTTTGGCGAAAAATCACGTTAGCAATGTTGAAAATGGCCACCATGACTTTCTATGCAATAATAAAGATTTTGCTCAAAACGGTGCCGCACATTTTGCAATATTTGAGGCGTAATTTCACAATTCTTTGTCGCAAGTCTTCTAATTATGTTGGCTGCGTAGCATAGATTTTTCTTTTTAAATGACCCCACATAAAGAAATCCAAAGGTGATAAATCTGGCGATCTTGGGGGCCATTCAATGGCACCTCTTCTACCAATCCATCGATCTGGAAACGTCTGATCTAAATATTGTCGAACACGTAATGCGTAATGTGGTGGGGCACCATCCTGTTGGAACATCAACCTATTCGCAATGTACTGCCGATCATTCTGATTTTCAGTTATGGCTGTTAATGCAGGATCTATGGCGTCTTCCAGTATTTTTTTGTTTATTCAAAGTTTATTCAAATTCAAAAACCAATATAACTTACAAATTAAAAAACAACCTTCAGTACAATTTAAATAAAAAAAGCTTCAAAAATACATGAGCTTGTATACTCTTGCTACCCTGAATAACCAAGATTGCAACAGAAATCTGAGCAAAGATACTAGCATCAGATCTAGAACCAGCAAGTAACGGTATATGAATTGTGAAAATTCTGTATACTTTCGTAAAGGGTAAATGTCTGAATCTTGTCGTCACAAATCCTACATTACGTGTCTGCATAAACAAATCTAAAATTCATAACAATAGTCCAGAAGCATACTAAAAACACTTAAGTATAAATATAGAGTACATAAAATATGAATACCTGAAATATGAGAATATAGGGATATTTCGAGTAAGGTCAAACTATGCTGTTTAAACAATAAAAATTTTGCGTAAAGGTTAAGCAGAGAAACAAGAGTACCACAATTTACTACAAAAGAATAGACACCTAAGCTATAAGCTTGTGTGTGTCATACAATATACAAATTCAATGCATGGCTAATGGTTATAAGGTATATTATGAGCAAATGTATATAAAAAAAAAGAAATAAAAAAAACATTAGATAGAAACGAAATTACTGAGTTGAGTCAAGCTACCGTCGATGCAAGCATGTCAAAGTTATTTAAGATGAACTTCTTAATTCTTTTTTGAAACTATACTTCGAGAGGATTTTATATTCTAGGGGTAATTTATTATACAACCTAATACCATCAAACTTTATGCATTTTTGGCAAACAGATTTATTCACTCTGGTATAGGTGTAACTTATATTTATTTTAGTTCTTGTTTCATAAGCGTGGCTGGTTTGAACATTGTTTCGGGAGTGAACAAATTTTAGAGCAGCAAAAATATATAAACCTCTAACATTCAAAAGATCATTTTCAATGTAAACAAATCTGCAACTTGACCTACATGGGATACTAAAAATAGTCCTGAAAATATAATTTTGCGTGGTTTGTAGTATTTTTAAAGTACTAGTGTATGCGGCTCCCCAAATACTTATCCCGTAAGTTAGTAGAGACCCCACAAACGAGTTATATATTGAGAGAAGACTCTTTCTGCTTAAAATATTCCTAAGAATGAAAAACTTATGAATAATTCTCCTTAATTTCGATGCCAAAAGCTCGGCATGACTCTGCCATTTTAAATTACTGTCAATAGTGATTCCTAAGTATCTAATAACTTCAACTCTTTCGACAGTGTCAGCACTATCATTTATAATTAATGTTCGGTGGTGTAATGGCATGCCTGCTTTGGTTGGAGAAAACGTTACATACTTAGTTTTAGAGATATTAAGTTTAAGTAAATTGTTATCCAACCAGCATTTGACTTTATTTAATGACAACTCGGCATTCCGTATTGCGTCATCCCATGAATGACCAGTGCAAACTAAAACAGTATCGTCTGCATATGATATCATTTTACAGTTGAAATGACATCGAAGTAGTTCATTTATGTATATGAGGTACAGTGTTGGTCCCAAAACCGTCCCCTGAGGCACACATCTTTTTTTATCTTTTGAATGTTGCTTAAATCTGACCCTACCTTAACTTGTTGTAATCGATCAGCCAAATAGTTCTCAAATAAATTCAGAACTCCGCTACGCACTCCAACACTTTCTAGTTTCTTTAATAAAATTGTATGAGATACTGAATCGAAAGCCTTTTGAAGATCTAGGAAAACTGCAACAGTCTTATTTCCATCTTGAAAATTTTCAAGCACTTGTCCTGTAAGTTCTTGTAGAGATTGCTCTGTATTGCAATTTTTGCGGAACCCAAACTGACAGTTCGATATTATGTCATATTTCTCAAGAAAAGAACAAAGTCTGTTATTTAAACACTTCTCAAAAATCTTCCCAAATACATTGATAACTGTAATAGGTCTATAATTGAACATATTATCTTTACTTCCAGATTTAAATATTGGTGTCACTATGCTTTCTTTAAATTGGCGAGGAATTACTGAGGATTTGAAACAGAGGTTGATAATGTGAGTTATAGGGTGACTGATATACTTCATGATCATCTTGATAGTTTTAGTGTGTAAGCCATCTTTTCCGGGTGCGCTATTATTTTTCAGATTACAAACTATTTGTTGTAACACTATGTTATCCACTGGAGTTAGAAACATAGAGTGAGCAATGTTGACGACATGAGGATCTGATGTATCAAGAATTGAGTATTGATCAATTTGACTTGTTATTTGCTCACCTATATCAACAAAATATTTATTAAAAACACAGGCTATATCAGTGGGAGCGTCCAGCTGCCGATTATTGTGATTAATTGATTTTACGTCATTTTTTTTATTTTGCCAGCATTAGTTACCTCATTAATAACATCCCAGCTCTATAGTTATTACCAGCTAAAATGAGATTTTGTGTATAATATTGATTTTTAGAGATCTTAATAAGATTAGTTTCTCTGTTTCTGTAGGAGATATAGGACTGTCTCAATATCAAATTATCATTATCTTTCGTCAAACTCTGTTTCAATTCATCCCTCTTCTTGATCGAAGTAAGAATACCGTCAGTCATCCACGGCTTGCGTTTTCTAGTCTTACTATTTATTTTTAAATAATACGTTGAATGATCTATGCCTTTATATAATTCATTATAGAAGTTATCAGTTGCTTTTTGGACATCACTCTCTGAAAAAACACTGTCCCAAGTCACCACTTGCAAATAATCTGTCAACTTTTTCTCATCAATTTTATTAAATCCATAGCTGTTTTTATTAATGATACAATTACTTCCTTTCAAATAACCAAAATTGAACAAAACAGGATAATGATCGGTCACACAATTTTCCAAAAGTATTGGTTTACACTCAATTGCTGTTTCAGAGACCTTAAATCTGTTTGTCTTCAAAAATATGTGGTCGATAATCGTAGATGAGTTAGAATCTACCCTAGTAGGTGTATTAATCTGAGATATGTACCCGTTCTGTTGTAACATATTCACGTATCTTAAATTGCTGTATTCATGTTCTCTCAATAAGTCTATATTTATATCACCCACCAACAACGACATGTCACAGTTTGCAGTACTTCTCAAATACGAATCCAAATTGTTTACAAAATCCTGTACATCCGTGGGATTAGGCCTGTAGATACCAGTAATACTGAAACTGTTATTGTTGAAAATAAAGCTACAATTCAATGCCGTCACTACATCTATCATTTTTATGGAAACATTTGCCGAAATGTCATCTCTTACATACATACAAACACCATCGCATTTATTATACTTGGCTTCATTATAGTAAATTTTAGCCATTTATTTTATAACTGTCGATATTACTGATATTCCAGGTCTCACTCAAAACAATTATCCCTTTATTTTTATTCTTATTTAACACCGCTATGTTTATACAAAGCTCATCATAGTGAGCTTGCACGCTCCTGATATTGTAATGAAGTATAGTGAAGTTTAACTTATCACTTCTCTCAAACAGAACACTATTTAATTCATCAAAATTACAACAACTGATGGTCGTGATATTGTTATAATCCTCTAAAATATTCAAAGCTGTATCAATATCAGTCATATACAAATCAAGCTAAACTCAATATGAATGCAGAAAAAACTGAAACTAACTAAACTGCTACAACTAAACAATGGCTCAGTTAGAAGAGAAAAAAGCACTAAACCAAAATGAAAAGCTCACGTCCACTCTGCAGCAACCTGAACAGTACATGGGATCATTACTGCGCCATATTATTCAAGTCCTCTTCCGTTTTTATCTGTAACTTTTTTTCTCGCAGTTTCAACCATATTTCTCCGTTATAAAACCAGGTATTCTGCTTACCCCATTTCTGCACGGTCTTTTGATACAGGTTATATCGAGCAGGCGACATATCTTCAGTAAGAGTTATTCCTGAACCTTTCAGCAACTTCCTGTTTCTCAGAAACTTCATTTTCAGGTTATGAGAATTTACAGTAAACAAGACAGAACGCTGTTCATTCTTCTTTCTTCCTAACCAAAAACAATTTTCAATATTCTCTTCCAAAACTCGAGTTTTTAGGTTATCTTCGCATAAGGGCTCCAGGACACTTGTACCATGTGATTCCTTCATGCCAACTATTCTAAAACACTCTTAGCATGTCTCAGGTCCACTATTTTTTTTCTAGCTCGACCATTTTTTGTTGAGATTCCTTTATACCCAGTTTCTGTTCGATTTCATCAGAAATAAGCGTTAAGAATCTATCATCACTGAGCAATTCTTCAATGGTTTGCTTTATAATTAATTTAACATCGGCCATTTGATCTCGTGTCAATGGCATATTGATTTAGTGTCCACTAAGCTTTCAGAGCAGAAGAACCAAATTATTTAATTCCACTTATTACTGGAGGTTTTTCAGATTTTCCGCAGAGCGACACACAGCACGTCTACTCTCTCACCATGTCTACTGTCTACTGACAATACATTTCACTGGTCAAATTTCCAGGTAAGAAAAAAGGACCAACTAAATGATCGGCAAAAATCCCAGCCCAAATATTTAATGTTTGTGGCTGCTGTGTATGAACCTCATGATAAATTCTGGGATTAGAATCGGACCAATATCGGCAGTTATGACGATTTAGTACGCCATTTAAGAAAAAGGAACATTCGTCGGAAAAGCAAGTGTTGAATAGAAAATGTTCATCGTTTATAATTCGTTCACTCATATCTTCACAAAATTGTAATCGCCAATCAAAATCGTCTTCATTAAGTTCTTGTACCAGGTGAATTTTATACGGATGAAAACTATGGGCCTTCAGAATCCGTTAGACAGTACGTCGACTAACACCACACACAGTCTCCAATTTGCGGGTACTTAACGTAGGATCTACATAAACTTGCCCTAAAACCCCCACTTCTATTGCTTCGTTCCTTATGGGATTTTCAATATTGCGTTTTTTATTGGCGACTGACCCAGTTTCCTGAAATTTAGCCACAAGTTCTAGAACATATTTTCGATGAACGTTACTGTTCTCATGTCGCTCATTAAATATTTCTGCTGTTCTATTAGCGCACTGATTATTTCCGAAAAATATTTCGATAATTTCAACTCTTTCTGCTGTGGAATATACCATGGTTAATTTATTTAATAAAGCATTACAAGTTATTTTAGCAAAAAAGTTTGGTCAAATCAGTCGCAAACTATGTACTAAATTCCTATTTAAAATAAGTACTAGATATTTCCTTATCTTTCTTCAAGAAATAACTTTTTTGCTCAAAAAAACGCTCCAATAGCGATTTTCAACAACAAAATGATAAACAAACCATGGGCGTAGTGAAGAAAAGCATTTACTTATTAAGTAAATTCTTTTAGTCAAATTTCTTCTGAAAGTAGTACAAACTAATCTGATGTACATACCTATTAAAGACTACTTTAAGCTTTAAATCAATAAATCTTCAAAACTACTGAACTGAAGCTCATGTATTTTACATCATTGTAAAGGGAATTGAAAGACCTTTAAAATAAGGTATCACTCGATCCCCCTTTCCATTTAAGATTTTAGGGGTGGTGTCACCTCCGCCCAGGGGGCTGCACGTGCTAACGTGATTTTTTGCCAAACTTGTGTCCCCCTCGAAAACAAAATCGACGGGTCTGAGCGTTTTTCCAAAAAAAAAACTGACCTGCCAGTAAATGCGTCTGCTTCGTTTTCGATGCGCCACCCTGTATATACCTTTTTAAATGAAATACCCTGTACATACAGTAATGGACAAAAGTATATAGACAAATATGAATATTTACCTAAATACCTTTAGAAAACGAATTAATACTTCATTGCTCCATAAACAAATGCGTTATTAGTAAAAAAACTAAATTCCTTGTTTTTACATTATCTGCAATGAACACAATACAAGTCTGAATATAATCACTTTTTTATGAGGGACAAAAATATGTAGACAAATTCTTTTCAACATTAGTTTAGTACAGTTTCGTGTCAGAAGAGGATTAGTTTGTGTTCATCAAGTATTGTGGAATAAGTTGAGTGATTTTAAGACCATGCCGCGTGGTCCAGAAATTTCTTTCGATGTGAAAACTAAGATCATTGAGTTATACAAAGATGGTCAACGTCAAGACGACATTGCCAAAAATTTGAAGCTGAAGCGTAAAGCAGTTTGGGCAATACTGAACAAATATAAACAAAAAGGTATCTTGGAAGCCTCTGAGAAGTGGTCGGCCTAGAAAACTGAATGCTAGATCAGTTAGATTAATAAAAGTAATTTCGTCCAAAGATCCGTTTAAAACCCCAAGACAAATAAAAGCCGAAATCGAGACAAAAGGAATTGTTACTGTTTCTACGAAAACTATAGGTAGAAGATTAAATGATTTGAAGTTATTTGCACGTCGCCCGAGTAAGAAGCCGCTAATCTCGAGGAAAAACCGTAAGGACCGATTACAATTTGCACGGTTGCATCTTGATTGGAGCATCTGTAACTGGAAGAGGGTATGTTTCAGTGACGAATCCAAGTTCAATATGTTTGGATCAGATGGTGGTCATTACGTTAGACGCCCTAGTGGACAAAGATTGAACCCCAAGTACACTTTGCCCACTGTCAAACATGGAGGCGGGTCTTTTTTGGTTTGGGGGTGCTTTTCCGGTTTCGGGCCACATATAATAGATGGCATTATGGATAAGTTTGTATACACAGACATACTAAAGCATGCCATGTTACCCTATATGGAAGACAATATGCCCTTAAGATCAATCTTCCAGCAAGATAATGACCCGAAGCACACTTCAAATCTCGCAAAGAAATTCTTTCTGGATGAATAAATACCAATTCTCAAATGGCCTTCACAGTATCCCGATATAAACCTCATTGAAAATCTATGGGAATACTTAGATAAGCAAATACAAGATAAAAATTATTCAAACAAGGATGTACTTTTTGCCGCTTTAGAGCAAAAGTGGAGACAGATTGATGAATCCTATACCAAGAAACTTCTACAATCTATGCCGAGACGATGCCAGGCGGTGATTGATAATAATGGTTATGCTACAAAATATCAACACAAACATGGTTGGTTTTCTATAATTCAATGAACTTTGCTTCTTTTTTCTATAATTGTTTTGCTTTGTCTATATATTGTTGTCCTTCATAGTTCCAGTTTTATCAATTAATGTTTTATTGAAGGGAGTCTAATGAGTTTATTCATGTATAAGTGAGTATTATGCTATAACGAATTATGTATACAGGTTGGTGTATTAATAAAACAAGTTAAAAAAGAAATACAGCACAATATTAATTTGTCTATATACTTTTGTCCATTACTGTATATAACAGTGTATTCTAAAAGGAATGGAAATCTATTTAAAAAATGTATGTTTATGGGGCCAGCCATATATCACCCAGTAGGAATTATATGCTTAGCTACAATTTATATTATAAAAAACTTTTTTTACATATCTTTCATAATAACGGACAGAATTGTAGTTCCCTAGTAACAAACTGTACACTCCAATGCGAGTTTTTTAAATTACTTTGATAAAGGAAGCATACTTAGCAATTGCTTTTGCTGGTCTTGAAGTGACGCCGTTATAGGTCCATAAGATACTTTGAAATGTAGGGAAAAATAAGATGACTAATCACCTGGCTAGACTGGAGGCCCTGACGTTTAAATCGCTCAATTTTTTGTTCCGTCAGAATGTCAAGAAATAAAACTTTTTCATAAATTACTAAGTATATTAACATTTTATTTAGTTTGTATTCATGTACAAAATTTTTACACACTTACTGGGCCAAATGAGACAAAAACATGAAACAGAAATTTACACAAAGAAAAACAAGTGATGACAACAAATATAATAGATGTTTCTCAAGTTATCTTATTAATTAACTCATAACCGTAACAACACCAAACTGTGACTCTGCTGAAGATACACAGAGAAAAGATCGATATCTATGCACAGGATTACAAACGTGATATATGGGAGCTTGAAGACTTGTTCACTTCCAGAAAATTTGCATGCTGTCCATTTAAATCCTTACGAACCCTAAAGGCCTATCAGGGTTGTCATCTTTTTAATTAGTCAACCCCTGATGAGCATATATCAATTACATGACACTTATTTAGTCCAATAAACCAACGGTTCAATACAGGTTATATTGAAGTTTTTTTTTTGTTTACACCAAAGAAGTCTAAATGCCAGGACACCGCGGGTGCGGGCCGCAGGTCTATCTGGTAGAAACATTGCGCGTATATTAGAGAAATACATTAAACTCGGCTTTTTTATTGGCAGCCTGCCTCATGTACATTCCATTTCACTTCTAAGCTAAGGTTATTTGGCATGATTTTACCTGATATTCCATACAAGAGTACTTGTCGAAAATAGTAATCTGTATTACGTTACCAGTGAGGTGTCAAGTGTACTCGTACTTATGTACATCAATGTGGTAACGTGACCTGGCGACAATACACTTCACTGGTATGGTCAGAGACCCAGCCTTTGAAGTGGAGTTAAATGTGTATGTGGAAGGTTGTCGATAGGCAACACTCGTTTAACGTCTTTCTCCATTATCGAAATTCCATTGGAATGAGTTGAAAGGCCAAGGAGACCGATGATGGATTTACATAGCTGTGATACCTCCAAGGACTTTTAATCAGGCATAAAATATGAACAATATGACAAATTTTCGGAAAATTTAAGCTAATCGTACGCACCGTGTGCATGATCTTTTCACTACAGGGCGCGGCAGCTGAACTTCCTTTTTTAAAATACGCGCCATTCAACCGGTCGATGAACGAAGCACTAGTGGTCTCGTTCGAGAGCTTTTGTCTCTACACAGTTCAGTCACCATCATGCGTTGGATCAGTGAGGAGCGTGCTTTAGCTATTTAGGCCTACTTTTTGAGCGGATGTTCTGTGATCGCAACCCAGCGCGCCCTTCGGAATCGCTGTAATTTAGCCTCGTTAGCCCCTCTCCCGGATTGGAAATCAATTGTTAGGTGGTTCACTACGTGGCAGGCAGAAGAGCTTCAATGTTGCGATCAACACGGCGTTCTGCGCGCAAACAGGCAACTCCTTGTATGTGTAATAATACTTTGCTGAGAAACTGTACTTTTTATATTTTCTTTTATATAATTTATTTTTTCTGCCCTGGTTCGCCAGTTTAATAAAGACATTTTATGATTATTATGTGCCTGCCCTTGGAATTTCCGATCGTTTTATGAGGAGAATTCTTCATGATGACTTTCATTTCTATCTAAGATGGCAATTGTGCCGGAACTTTCTGAACGCGACTTCAATTGTCAGATGAACGCCTTTGAGCGTCTTCTCGAAGTCGTTCCTGAGGGAGCTATTGTTTTTTTTGTGATGAAGCCCTTTGCCAACTGCGTCAAAGGCCTTCGCATTCACCTAAAGTCACAGTGTGGTGTGCAATTTCCTCAGCTGGAACTATTGATCCCTGGCTCTTTGAGGAAAATGAAGTCGCAGTGACAGTGAATTCGCACCGGTATGTAAACATGAAACAATAAGAATCTTTTTCCATAGCTAGATGAATTGAATTTAGGGTATTTGGTTCCAACAAGACAGTGCAATGGCACACACTTCAAGAGCATTGATGATGTTTTGAGGGAACACTTAGGAGTAGCCTGCCCGCCTTCCCGATTTGGCCCCTTGTGATTTTTGTATGGGACTTTTTGAAATCCCGTGTTTATGTGAACCAATCCAAGGACCCTGAATGAATGAATGAATCGTGAAATTAGAGGCATTCCGGCCACCATAAGGAGTCAGTGCATAGACAGCTTAAACGGGCCCTTAAGCACCTCTACATTCCTTAGATCACAAGCCTCGCCCTTTTAGCGAAGTAGAGAATCGCCTAGATTCCAAGCTCCTTGAGGATCCAAAGTAATGGACCCCAGTATAGTCTGCCTGTAGTAGCTAAGAGCCTCGCAGCGACACAGAACGTGCGCCGAGGTCTCTTCCTCTACACCGCAGCGCTCACACAAGGGATCCTCAGCCACCCCCATCACGTGCAGGTGATGGGGGTGATCGAAAGATAAGCAGAAACGTCTATCCTTAGCACTGGGCCCTTCAATGAGTTCCCGTGCCTGGCGGAGATGTCTGGAGATACTTCTCCATATCTGAGAGTGGTGTCTTGCAATCCACGTCTCCGTTTTTCTCCTAGCTCTATGCGCGGTCACTCCTAAAGCTGGCTCAGGACCAACGAGCTTGCTGGCTAATCCTGTCTTTACCAGAGCGTCCGCCGTCTCATTGCCCCTTATCCCAGCGTGGCTCGGTACCCACATTAACAATACCGGATGCCTCGCTGCGAGGCAATCCAGAGCCTCCCTGCATTGCAATACAAGACTCGAAGGAATCTTACAGGCACTTAGTGCCTTCATTGCAGCCTGGCTGTCGGATAAGATTGTCATTCTTCTCCTAGGCGCACCCTCCTCCAGAATGAGAGATACACAAGCCAGAATTGCAAAGATTTCCGCCTGGAAAATAGTGGTGTATCCACCGAGAGGCAGAGATAGCCTAGTTCTAGGCCCAGATACCCAAGCACCTGAGCCCTCACCGGCGTCCCACTCCTCCCTCGTTGGATACTCCACAATAAACTTGAGGTTGAAGCAATATTTAGGGGTAATACGATCACCCCTACTTAGAAGGATGGGGTCCTCCCTTTGCAATTCGACTAAGATGGCAGTATGCCCCTTGACAGGATTGAAGAAGGCCCAGCTGTCCTGACAGTCGATGAGCGACTATTCTCGCTTCACCGCGGATCACCAGATCCAACGGTGGGAGATCCAATAGAGCTTCCATTACTACTCGATTTGAAGGCCAATATCCAGGAATAAATTGCCTGCTATGCTGGAAAGTGTCATGACCAACGCCAGAAATCGATTTACTCAGTGTATGGAGAATGGGGGTAATTCCTATCAGAGTTGATCTTTAAAACTAGGTAAAACAAAACTTTGGTAATGGATTTTCATTATAAGAAACAAATAAAAAATTTTCTGACTGAATGGGGTTCATTTAGTTTTGAAAAAAGGAAATTATGCTGCCGCACGCTGTATAACAAAACATCACGATAATTTCTGATAAATCATGTTTAATGAATGAATTATATTTAATGTGTCTTCTTCCTCGGCAAATGTGAACGTACACATAAAAATAATTCAAATGATAAGAAAACTTCCGTTTAAAAGAACTCGAATTTTTTATGCCATTTTGTTTATAATGGATGAATGTAAGGTATTTAGTTGGTTAGCCCACCTATCTAGTGCACTATATTTAGCTTGGTTCAACGTAGCTCTTTCCAAAAATAGCACTTGGTTAACTTGATCTATACGGCCTTGGATAGTGCTACAAAATTAATTTGTGATTATAATCAAGTAATCTCCAATATCGGGATAAAGAATAGAAACTTCACTTATTTTTGAATGAATTAATTTGAGTATTTGCTTTCCACCTTGTCTCTCCATACCATACTGATGATTCCACACAAGGATAAACCCGCGCTTGTACGATTGGACATACAGACAGAAGTAAAATACTTTTGAGGAATCAAGTCCCAGTATAACTAACCCATTTATGAAACAATAAGGTTTAAATATCAACAATATATCTTGAAGTACAAATAATTTTGCTGCATGGTTGCTGAGCAAATCCAAATATTTCTCTGATGAAATGACATTTTAAAATCAGCATAATTGAAGAATGAATACTGTAAGCATTATGTGAAAATTATACTTACTTATCTAAAATACAGGATACTAACAAACTCTCCACCTCAGAAACATCAATGTTCAATTTCCTTGAAATGAATGGTATTTGAATTCTAGTATATGGTTTGATCAACTGGATCAATACTTGAGTCCTAATATTTCTTAAGAGGTCTGCAATATAAATAAATCATCACCACCAGAATAAAGAAATATACCATTATCCAGATATGGAAAATAAAAATGTACCTTCAATATGTTCTCTAATAAACAAATCATCCATAATATTCTGTCGATTCTGCTTGAGAATATGTTCAAATTCTATAATATCATTATTTTGGTAAGCATTGACTAGATTTGTCATTGCTAAGATCTCTGGGTCATTTTTATAAGGCTTTGCTTCCTGAGAATCAAATGGGTTTATTCCTGATCTCATCAACCTAAAAAAAGATCATAATAAAGATTTTCTAACAAGGTGATTGTTTTATTTCAACACAACATCAAACATCCTTATCTGAAAATCTTTTACAATAACTTGCAAAAATAATTATCATTATCAAATTCTTACTAACACTTATGCACTAAACTAAATCATTAGTCTGGAAGTAGTACTTACATGTTAGCTAGTACTAAGTATTTAAGGCATGTAGTTCTCCTTGGACTACCAGATTCATCATAGTTTTTAAACGCTTCAAAAAAATCCGTATGCGCTTTTTCAAACTCGCCCTCTCTTAAGTGCATTTTGCCACCACATTCTAGAAGAAAACAAAAATACAGAAAACTCGATAGACACTAAAACTTGAGGTCAAATAGCTTGAAATATGCCCAAAATGTTAAAAAACCTGAAAAACTGGCAAATTTTTTTACACTTCATAGCAGTCAGACCAAGAATGCTAAATAAAGTACAAGCGCTTCAAAAGTGCAAAAGGTCTCTATTTAAAAGGATTGATTAAAATATTGATGCTTCTATCTAATCTACATTTTGAATTTAAGTTTAACTTCAGACAAAATTACCTCTGATAACACCCATGATCAGTGGATGTGGTATAGCAGACTTAATGTGAAGAGATTGTTCGTAAAGAGTTTTTAGTTTCTTGTTGTTTTTCTGAGCTGTATACATTTGAATCTCCAGAGCATATATTTCTAATAATTGTGTTCCTTTCTTTAAATCATCTTCACCATCATCTGTCTGACAGGATTGATGAAGTTGTTTAAGTATTTTGGATAATTTGTTAAAATCACCACGATCATAGTAGAGTTTGCCTAGCTTTGTGTTTGTTTTAAACCACAGTCTATCATTTTTTGCATCTTTTAGAGCGTCTAGGGTTGTTTCATAGAAATTTTGTAGCAGTTCCATCTGGAATAGAAAACATTTTTCAATAATAGCCCAAAATATAAGCTATTATACATACGTTTCGTGATGTAGAAATATAGTCCAAAATTGAATTGATAGATTTTTCACTATGATTTCGTGTTACTGCGCTTTTGATGTAGGTGAGGAGCTGTTTGTATCTGGACATCATTTCATCATAGTTTCCCTGGAAAAACACTCAAATCAAACATACCAATTTGAAAACCATCAAAAAATTACCCACAAAGGATCCCAAGCAACATATTTTCTGTAACAACTTTAGGTCCATGATACTTAATGACTTTTTCATGGTCATATCCAAATTTAACAGTCCAAATTACTACTAGCCACTACTTACTTATTGCCCTAAGTTTCATTTCACTATAGGCGAAAATGGAAATCTTTCTTTATAAAGTGATATGTTTTTGAGATATCCTTTGAGAAAATTTTCTAAAACAACTAAGTATATGTGATCTGGAACAGATTTGTTTTCTGGATAAATAATATGAATAGATTTTACAATTACAATTTTTTGATATTCATAAATGAATTGAACACTCAAAAGTACTCAAGTGTTCAAAGATAGGCAGTTACCAAGCACACTATTTTTGAGGGATTTACCTCACTGGTTTTTTTCAACAAGGAGAGTACTGAGTACTCTGTCAGATTTGAATATAGAGTACTAGGTATTTCAACTACTGTTAGTGTTATTGAAACTATATTTGGGTTTTAAATCTTAAATTAACCATTAACCCAATTTCTGGCAAAAATATTCTGTAACCTTAGCAATTTTTTTTGAGAGCATACTGGGAAGGTTTGGGTAAGGCATGTGAGCTCACAGTTTGGACATCTCATCAGCAAGTCTTATTTTCTCCACACATTTATTCCTTTACAAGTTTTTTTGGTAGATACATTCAAATTCAACTGCCCCAATTTTAATTTTAATAATGTCAAATAGTCAGGAGTGATACCACATATTATTGCCATATTTGAATAGAAATGCATATTTATCAATTAAGTAGTGATGATAGCTGCAAACACCATAATAACTATTAAGCTATTACAGTACAAAATAGGGAACTTATTTCGATTATGAGGCTGACAGTTTATTTATGGATTTTTCTCACTTTGTATACTATTTAGATAAATGAAAATTAGTGACACTTTATATAGTTTCTAGGGTATATGTAGGATATAAGATTATTGAAAACACACTGTGGTTCGAAAATATTAAACTTACTAGCTTAAAATTAATCTTTATCATCTGCTTTAAAGCCTTGAAGCCCCATTCTCCTTTATCGCCGCTTTCGAGATCTAATACTTTTTGAAAAGACGCTAAGGCAGCTGTAGGCTCATCTTCCTTTAAGGCTTTGCTGTTATAGTACTGGTTTTCCAGATCTACATCTGGCTCAGAGTTGCTATCTTCAGAGTACTCCTGAAATTCATCAGTTTATTATAAAATGTTCAGTTAGGATGCCGAAAGATATTTCTGTACTTACTAGACCGTAATCTTCTTCGTCGTCACACATGAAATCATCCTCGTTATCCGACATTTTTCGAAATTTCTTATGCGGCTATTTTTTCCTAAAAGAGAAGCATTATTCCACCAATTTCTTTTTTTATTCAACAGAAGCTCAACGTTATTCTTTCACCTTCATCAAAAAAACCACAAATGACATTAATGACAGTTGAGTTGTCATGTATGACATTTACCCATATTCATTTCAGGCATCTACTCCCAGATATAAGAACTGGAAATACGAGCATAGAGACTAACGTCACGATTGAGTAAAATACACAGCGGCGTAGGTCGGGGTCTTCTAGAAATTAAAAAAAATTAATAACAAACTGACAAGATCGTAATTTATCAGAATTTTCTTATATGAAGTCAATGGCTAACACTAAGGGTTAAAAAAAACCGTAGAAAATAAGTAATTATGATTAGTAGATGAGTTGCTTAAAATGTCGATAAACGTAACAATAAAGTGACCACATAAATTTTACAAGTAGAAAGGGTAATGTGGAACTTAAGTATTAAAGTGCCGTGTTGGGACTGTCGGGCCGAATTTAGAGTAGAAAATTATCCTAGGGCGTCCGTTGCTAGTAGCGCAAGACTGATGTAGATTATAGAAATTATTCCCATTACAAATGAAACACAATTTTAAGGCAATATTAATTAAATCAAAGTTATGTGTCTCAATGACCCGCCACGTAATAAAACTTCTGCATATCACGTTTTCTCTTCTACACGGTGGCATAATTAGAGCTTCGATCTGATTATCATTACTACCCTTAAATAATATAAATGGGTTACGATATGTTGTACCTCTTTCGATGAGTTTAAACCAACTATCTGAAGTTGGACATTTGTAATTTTATATCATTGCGTAACATTCAATGAAATATATGACTAGGGATATGATAATATCAAGGCTTACTCAGAATACATTTTTTAATAGTAATGTATATATTACGGGTAAAGTTAGTATAATGATTAAACTTAGATTTACCCGGGTAAACTGCCCAATACCCAGACAACATGGGTAAAGTCCAAAATATTACTGAAATTGTAAATGTTTCGGACTTCACCCGGGTAAACCGCGTTCTATCCACTTTCGTGTGGTTAATGTTAAATAAATGTTTTAAAAACGCATTTTATTGAAAGAACAGATTTTAAAAATCAAAGGTTACACTGAAACTGTATCCTAACAAAGTACAAGATACTATAATCTATTTGTTTAAACAAGATAAGCTGTTTATGACATTATGAGTTACAAAGCTTTCCAATAGCCTTACATTTACACTTATTGGTCATGCATTTAGTTTTACAGTTGCATCGTTTGTAACCTTGACCTCCTAAAAGAGATTGTTCGTTTGCAAGTTGTCGTAAACTTTTCTTCTCCAGTGATACACTTTCCATATCTACAAGTTTCTCATTACACACAGAAAATTGGTTCCTGGAAAACATCTCCTCGATATTTCCTCTCTTGTTTGCTAGCCTATAAAAATCGTCGTCAGTTTTTTCGATTACTGTCATGAGAATATTTTTAAAATCACTCCTCCCTCTATCAACGTCTGGAATTTTCACTCTCACTGTATCTCCAACAGAACAAGGCGAAAACTAAACTTTGAATTAGACAAAGCTTTCATTTTCTTTGCTTGATTTTCTAAATTTCGTTTTGCCTCTAATCTGTTTGACCGTATGTCTTTTTTGGCACAAACAAGTTCGCAACATACAGGGTGGCGCATCGAAAACGACGCATTTACTGGCAGTTCAGTTTTTTTTTTGAAAAACGCTAAGACCCGTCGATTTTGTTTTCGAGGGGGCACAATTCCCTTTATAATGATGTAAAATACATGAGCTTCAGATCAGTAGTTTTGAAGATTTATTGATTTAAAGCTTAAAGTAGACTTTAATAGGTACATCAGATTAGTTTGTACTACTTTCAGAAGAAATTTGACTAAAAGAATTTATTTAATAAGTAAATGCTTTTCTTCACTACGCCCATGGTTTTTTTATCATTTTGTTGTTGAAAATAGCTATTGGAGCGTTTCTTTGTGGCCAAAAAGTTATTTCTTGAAGAAAGATAAGGAAGTATCTCGTACTTATTTTAAATAGGAATTTAGTACATAGTTTGTGATTGATTTGACCATACATTGTTGCTAAAATAACTTGTAACGCTTTATTACATAATGGTATATTCCACAGCAGAAAGAGTTGAAATTATCGAAATATTTTTCGGAAATAATCAGTGCGCTAATAGAACAGCACAAATATTTAATGAGCGACACGTGCATCGAAAATATGTTCTAGAACTTGTAGCTAAATTTCGGAAAACTGGGTCAGTCGCCAATAAAAAACGCAACATTGAAAATCCCATAAGGAACGAAGCAATAGAAGTGGGAGTTTTAGGGCAAGTTTATGTAGATCCTACGTTAAGTACCCGCAAATTGGAGACTGTGTGTGGTGTTAGTCGAGGTACTGTCCAACGGATTCTAAAGGCCCATAGTTTTCATCCGTATAAAATTCACCTGGTACAAAAACTTAATGAAGACGATTTTGATCGGCGATTACAATTTTGTGAAGATATAAGTGAACGAATTATAAACGATGAACATTTTCTATTCAACACTTGCTTTTCCGACGAATGTTCCTGTTTCTTAAATGGCGTAGTAAATCGTCATAACTGCCGATATTGGTCCGATTCTAATCCCTGAATTTATCATAAGTTTCTCACACAGCAGCCACAAAAATTAAATGTTTGCGCTGGTATTTTTGGCAATCATTTAGTTGGTCCTTTTTCCTTACCTGGAAATTTGACCGGTGAAATGTATTTGGAATTACTGGAAGACGCCATAGATCCTGCATTAACAGCCATAATTGAAAATCATAATGATCGGCGGTACATTGCGAATAGGTTGATGTTCCAACAGGATAGTGCCCCACCACATTACGCATTACGTGTTCGACAATATTTAGATCAGACGTTTCCAGATCGATGGATTGGTAGAAGAGGTGCCATTGAATGGCCCCCAGGATCGCCAGATTTATGTCCTTTGGATTTCTTTATGTGGGGTCATTTAAAAAGCAAAATCTATGCTACTCAGCCAATATCATTAGAAGACCTGCGACAAAGAATTAATTGTGAATGAGTGCCTTCAAATTACTCCTCAAATATTGCAAAATGTGCGGCAACGTTTTGAGCAAAATCTTTATTATTGCATGGAGAGTCATGGTGGCCATTTTCAACATTTACTTGCCTAACGGGTCAGTTCATTCTTCATTTTTAAATTACTTTGCTGCCAAATGTATTGATCTCCACTAATGATGATGTATTAGTTTTATTTAAGCTTTAAATCAATAAATCTTCAAAACTACTGAACTGAAGTACATTAATTTAATATAAAGGGAATTGAAAGACCTTTAAAAAAGGTATCACTCGACCCCCCGTTCCATTTAAGATTTTGGGGGTGGTGTCACCCCCGCTTAGGGGGCTGTACGTGCTAACGTGATTTTTTGCCAAGCTTGTGTCCCCATCGAAAACAAAATCGACGGGTCTGAGCGTTTTAAAAAAAACTGAGCTGCCTGTAAATGCGTCTGTTTCGTTTTCGATGCGCCACCCTGTATATTCCCTGATGTATTTGGTTTGTCACACTCTAAACATTTCCCCTGATTATCTGAAGTTTCCATATTACCAGCGTTTTCGCTATAATTATTGTTGATATTTTGCATATTTCCATCTTCAGTAATATTTTCTTGCATGTTATCTGTTTCTGGGTTACTGTTCATAGATTGGTCTTCATTTTGTTCTTCTTGAAGCTCTTCACCTACACCAAATTCCTCCACAACTTTCTCGAGCTCTTCTTCAGTTCGTAGATTTTCAATAGCTTCTTTTGGAAACGCTGATGTGGATAGGCCGACTTTAATATCATGCCCAAACATGTCAGCATAAGGAGCTTGTTTTATCCCGTCATGCTATGCCCTAGTTTTCATTAACTGGACAGATCTTATAACTTCTGACCATCGCCTGCAGTTTTCAACATCCATCCATGTCATAAGCATATTTTGTATATCTTGATTTGCTCTTTCCACGCTGCCTTGTGACTGAGTATGACGTGGTTTGCCATGGACTATTTTAAGGCCACTCCACATTGTACATAACTCTTCAATGACACGGTTGGCGAACTCTCGGCTGTTGATGATGCAATAATAATTTCTACATCCAACTTTAATCACCCGAAAGCGAATAAGACGCGTTTTACCTGGGTAAAGTTCGAAATATGTAAAATTTCAATACTATTTTGGACATTAACCACTTTTTCTGGGTATTGTGCAGTTTACCCAGGTAAACCTAAGTTTAATCATTATTTTAACATTACCCGTAACATATATAAGCTATGATATTTAAAATCAGAATGAAAAGCTACTCGCCTATGCAAAAATGGCATACGGGAGAAAAATCAAAGTTGAGACGGAAGATATGAGACAAACAATCATATTAATGTTCTATTTATGCCACCTTGCAGAGATCAAAAGGTGGCAATGCTAATGTGCACTTTATTTTGAAATCATATCTCATATAAATTCACAAAAAGTTAGAAACAATTTTGGTTAAATTCGTTCCCTTTTCATATAATCAAGCAACTTTATAACTATTCAACCGACACGTATCGCTTACCTTTTCTGAGATCACAATGGTGAAAATATAACAAATTTAATTTTTTATTTATTCTAGAGCAAACTAGGTACATATTCTATAAAACTGTTTTTGGCTAGATTACGAATTCTCAGTTGTATAAAATCAACGAATAAATAATGACAAAGAGAAATTATTTCCGGAATTAGGATAATATGCTTGTAGTGGAGATATTGTACAATTACATACTTTTTTTATATATACCGAAGCAGCCTCGCAGGCAGAAACTTAAATGCCGCGATACCGCGGCTGCTATAAGGATCCCAAAGAAATTTTGTTAATCGGATTTTTGAACTGCCTAAGGTTAATAGAACTGGGGAAAACTTCCTCTTGTAGATTGTTCCACAATCTCGACACCCTCGGGACAAAGGAGCGGTCTGTTAGAGAAGAGTCATAGATCAGTCGGACATTCCTCCTCTGGACAGCATCGAGCATAAATAATGTAGTCGGAGCGGCAGCACGCCAAACGTGTGAGCAATACTCGAGGCTAGGCCTTATTTGGGCCTTGTATAGAATGAGAAGGTCATGCGGA